GTTTGCTAGCATGAAGTAGAACCCAAAAGAGGTTTCCTTGCAGCGTCTTCCTTACGTCCGGTTTAGTCGAACAGTACATACCTATACCTACACCAATGATTCCATTAAAAGCAGAAGTGAGGCTTCCAGATACACGAAAGAGAGATCGAGAGGGTTCTTTGTCTTGCCAAGGTGAAGTCAAATGAATGATTCTATTTCGATCGTGTATACACGTTTTGGAGACGCAGTAAACATCAGTGGCACGAGATTCTAAAGTTATAGCTAAGGAAGTCTGTTGCAGTATTTGCCACAAAGTCCGGAAATTAAAAGCTCCGAAATGTCCTTTAAAAGGGGGATTTAGAAGAACAGGAATAACGTTTAGTGTAATCTAATTGTTTGCATCAGCGGCCCGACGAGGCAAAGTAATGAGAGAAGGGTTTGTCGTGGGGATACGAGAGTTATTAAGAGGTGTACGAAGGACCTGGTTGTGACCGACTTCGTCTCATGTGTTGTTAGGCGTGTAAGATGTCACTGTCTGGCTGCCCACATCGTGAAAGGTTGTTTCCTGGGGAACCTGGAAAGGAAGTTAGATTAGCGTCGGTCCTAACTACATGCGAGAGTAACCGAAAAGTCCAAGCGACAACTACTTTATGCCGGCCACACGTGACCTCCGCTCTTCGAATGGCTTTACCTTCGGAGAGAGAAATCTATGTGCTAAGGTGAGGTGTGAAAGTTTTAGGGTCCACCTTTGTTAACCCACTCCTTCCGCTATGAGAAGTCAGCATCTCTACAGATTCTGGTTGCCCGAGTCTTACCATTCTTCAACCGACCTGCCTGGCATAATAGGACCTTCGAGGAACATACGTTTCAGCCTATATAGCCCGGTTGGGTCATCACGATAGGCAAGTCAGATCATGACGTTAAGGTTTCAGCTATGTTCGAGCGTCTTATTCATCACTTTGGCATTGTTTTCTTAAATGATACCGGTGACATTGAGGTTTCCCTCATACCCCTGCAGCTCTCTAGACTCATGTTTACAGTTTTATGTCTGGATGGCCATTCTGCCAATGTTATCGACAGCATGCTTACCCAGGGATTGTGAGGCTGGAATTTGATGGGAAAAGATAGAAAATGAACAATACAGCTCTCAAAGTTTTTCACAAACTTTACTCTTCTAATTCAACCGTCCTCCCTAATGTACAGACATCCAGCCTCTTACTTCAAATTTTCTTCTACATTTTAAACTGTATCCACCTCGATACTCACGCAAACCCGTAGTTCTTCATTGCTGTACCCCTTAATTTGTAGACTGCCTTACTACAGTTTATTTTAGTTTTGGCATCGAGCGGTTTGACCAACTGACGCTCGCACCTGAACACTTCCACTGATGGTGATTTTCACAAAGATCAATTGTGACCATAATCGAAGGAGAAATGATAATAATACAAACGATACCGATATCAATGGTGATAATGATCATAGTAATAATGGTGGTGTCGGTATTTTTTCTGATCACGGTTACGAAAAAGTCCCCTCAATAGTCAATGGTCATTCAACATGAAACAAATGAAACCAACTACAGACTTCCCGGCGGTTTTTCGACGAATATACCAGGTTAGGGAAAACCACGTATCGCAACCCCCTGAGTACAAATAGGATGACTGACACACAGAGCAAAAACAAAGAAAACAACAACTACTTCTATGGTTATTATTACTACCATCATTACAACTGCTTTTATTGCTAATATCAGTACCACCTACAATTATTACTATCGGTCTTCAATACTGATATTGTTGATGTCGAATTCCGTTTGCTGACATCGTTTATTTCATGAATAATCCTGTAATTAAATCATAAGTTCTCCATGTTTTCAGAGAAAGGTCGTACTGTTCAAACGACCAGATTTTTCGATTTCAGCAGTAAGCTTTTCAAATGAAGCAAGTGATAGATCCAATCTGAATACTTGAAAACAGTGGCTTTGAATCATTTATCGAACGGGTTGATATGAAGACGAGTAGAACAATTATTGTAACGTAACGTCAGTATATATACAAGAAGAACAAAGGTCACTGTATAAACGACAGTACGAATAAACAAGTGTTCAATTATAAGTCCACTCTTAATATTGGTTATAATAATGAATGCTGCTATTTAATAAATCGTGAAAATGGAATCACTATAACATAAATCTCTTGAACTGACTGCACAGAGGAGCAACTAAGTAGATAGTAGCTTTACAAAATAAATCTTACACAGACAGACTCCAACTCATGGAATTATTCTTGTTGACTTACAGCAGAATATGAGATGATCTGATAATGACAGGTTACATTACCAAGTTATCCTAACGCAAGCATCCTACCAGTACATCACCACAAGAATCCTCCAGGTACCCCCAGGAAATTCTCACGTCACAGAAAGCACACCCACTTTTTCTCATTAAGAGTTGTCCCTGCTTGAAATGTTGTGTCAGCCGAAGTGACCACGGCTCCTTCAGTTGACAGCTTCAATAAGAAACTCAACAAACATGTACTCATCATATACGGGGTATTGTCTCCTGCTTGGACATAACCATATACTTGGAACGGTAACGAAACAACAAGAGGCAAGCGTAAGGAAATTAACTGGATAATGTTTGCTCGTGAATAAGATATTAAGATGTATTATATCCTCATTGTAAAGTGGACTGTCTTTAGTTGATATTAAATTTAGCTCTTGTGATTGCTTTATCGGTAGTGTACGGGGATCGTAGGTATGCTTACAGTGAGAAAGTGTGGGATCATTACGACCAGGTAGTTTTGTTCAGATAAATAAACGTCTGAGTTATGTAAGTCTTGCGTTGGAGTACATCCAGCAGCACATTTAGTTGATGCTATAAAACTTACACAAAAAAGAGGTAAACCTCAACATAACTAGTGTTTTATGGGGTTAGAGACCATAGGCTCCGAAGCGCAACTTAACTGTACAAGACAAGAGTACTCTGAAAATTAGTTACTCAGAAGCTACTTACTGGTATACGACTTTGGAGAGGTAAAGTATGCAGAACAATTATGGAAGAACGAAGATGACCAACTTTACACCAAAGAAAGCGGATGTTGCATTTTACTTTTCTGCAGCGCATCACGGTGTGCTTCCAAATGATACACTTTTAAGTTCAACGAGTGATAATTCAGAGCTAAAACATGTACTTCCAAGGTCCGGTGAATGTAAGTGTCTATATCCCTAAAACTAGTCTAGTTGAGTTGCTGCACTGATGCAGCAATACCACCTTTTTAGTCATCACCTTGAAGATAAGTAATATGACGAAATGCTTTCATAACCATAAGAATCAGCACACCAAAAGAGTATCGAAAAATCTTATCCACTGATTAGCCTAACAACTTTGAGAGATTTTTCAAATTAATCAGGAGTTAATTGCTTCATTTAAGTGGTCTAAGACGTTTCGACTTCTATAGTTTCTACGAAGATTCGAGTTGTCAGACTCTCACGTTAGGAAAATTTAAAGTTGCGTCTTTTCCTAATTCCTGTATTTTATGGAAAGCAAATAGAAAAGCATTGATTCATAACCAGAGATTAAAAACAATAGTTCAATACTGTGGTTGACACATACCATTTATTTGGATTGGCCTTGCATTGCAGTGTCTAGTACTGACAATCTTATTTCAAACTGGACTTTCAGCTAAAGGTTCATATTATTGGCAGAGCCAACTGATGTGAAATTTTTAGATACAAATAGATGTGATCTGGCATGAGATAACGAATAACCTCCTTCATAGAAAACAGTCGGGGACAGTTTGCTTTCCGAAACTATTCAACTTAAGAGCATGCTTATGAAGATGACTCTTACTATAGGTCAACACCAGTTTGGCTAGCACTTAAAAAGCTTACAATTAAAGCTTGATTGCTCAGTCGTAGTTATTAATCATGCAATTGGGAACTAAAACTCAAAATAATGGCTTGTTGAATTGTAATAGTTCAGTTCTAATGGCGACGAGGGAGATTTTCTTTAGCAACTCTACGTATAAGTACACAAATAGTCTATTGTGAAGATGGTGGCTTCGGACTAGTGAGATAGTAAATGATATTGATGATGAATCGAGTGAATTTAGCTAGTTTAGTTTATCAAGTCAAACCTCATAATAAATAGGAGTAGAGTCAGTTTAGACCAGTATCTAGCATTACATACTTTTGATTATACTTTTATAGGAACAACAGTCAAGATTCAGGAAATCCAGTTATACAGTAATTCTATATTCATTTATTATCAGTAGATATGAAAATCAATACCAAAATCGATCAGCTTTTAGTAAAAACAAATAATACAGAACAAATGAAACACTACACGGTCTCCTTTGAATAACACAAATTCATGTAAATGTTTGCATAAGCATTAGTATAAATAAATAAGTAGGCGAACAAAAGGAAAATTAGTTTGACGAGTTCATGTCAAATATCTAAGAAAGATTATATAATTATTTAACCTATATATACGTAGACAAAAGCCAGTGTACATCATATATAAAATTATGCATAAGTAAAACCATTGTTTAAAACCTTAAATGTATCAAACAAGGCAAAATTATTCGTGTTTACACGTCAGTTTCTAATATTCAGTTAAATATATATTTTTCATCATTGATTTTTGTAAACTGCTGTTGTCATTTTCATGATTCATAAAAATGAACTGTTAAAAAGTAAATCTGCGACCGTCAGTTGGAAAAACACAAAGAGACAATAAATAGAAGAGAAATTTATCAAGATCTAACAATTTTTTTTAAAATAAAAGTATGTCTTACAAGGAAGCATTAGCGCAAAAATTAAAAAAATTTTCTGTACATTCAGTAGTATTGTTCAAATATGAATTGAATTCGATAAGGCGCATTTTAAAACTTATGTAACATACTTTGTCCATGCGTGTTTTTATTTCTTTACAATCATACTAAGAATAAGAACATTAGTACTGATTTAGAGCAATTGGCAAAAAAAAGCTAGAGAGATCTGAATAAAAAAAAGTGAAATTATGGAGTTTGAACAGCGGTTGGATCTCGATCGAAAAATCGTTTAAATGTAAAATTAGGAAACGGCAATTGAGTATTGTTAGCTGATGAAAAATCCAAACTATGATTGTTTCCACCACTGTTAAGTGTACGTTCATCGTCAACTGGGTCAAAATTGGATGTATCTAACTCATCGCGAATCTAAAATCAAAGGTATACACACATATACACGTGTAATCAATCATTATTTAGCGGTTGAAACAATCTGATTCTTCTCTGTTGGGTTTCAGCTTAAAAATCATCACTGTCTATCTACATAGGGTTGGATGATCAACTTTTATATTCAGTCATTATAAGAGTAATGTGAATAAAAGTATAGTCCATGAACTTTTTTGTCTAGTTACTAAAATGCACTCATCTGTTGATTATGGAATGAATGTCGTTTGCACGAAACTTTTACAGACATTAAATTTCAAGAGGTTGTCCAATTCAGAATATAATTTCTAAGAAATCTATGCTACTTGAGGTTCACGACAATATTTGATTTCAAATAAATAATATTAGTAGTTTTAGTATTAACTATAATCAGTAAGTCACGACGAATCTCTCCTGACAGCTTTGTCAATACAAAATGAAAGTAGGTCACTGGTGAGCAGAGTTTAGAACAGCTACAGTACAAAATAAATTCAAATATTCATGGAGAGAATGAAGGATAAGATTTGGTTGTGAAATGAAATGCCTAGTGCAAAGTAACTTCACCATATTGATTTCACTGAATATTAGGATAATGACTTTTCAGTTAAAACAACAAACTTTCAACACATTGATTTCATGTTTGAAGTAATGTCGCATGAATTGAATCATGGAGTAATTACAAAAGCATATGATCACCGTACTGCCTAGGATATTACTGAAACAGATATAAACACAGTTTGTCAAGTAGATAGGTACCAGAAAGCATAATTTATTTTATGCCTTTTTAAATACGTGTACAATGGGTTTGCCAAAACCATTTCAGATTTGAAAATCCCAATGAAAACAAAAATATACTTCGAAGGCAGTTGGATCGCAGACTGACTAAGGTTCGGTTTCAAGATAAGCAAAACGATACGTTCGACTCATCTCAGTTTTGTAAACAAATGAAATTTTAACATTTAACTTACAGTTGGAACATATGGGGGAGTTTGATGAACAAGTTTGTCCCATGCAATTGACTCAAAGAAAGGATGAGATTTTATTTTTACGGGGTCCGATAAGCGATCAGCTGGATCTCGGAGGAGTTGACGTATGAGATTACTTGCGTTTGTCTTTAAACGTGGTTCGCCGGGTAACTTTAAGTAATTGTACCACTGTACAACACGAATTTGAGTGTCTGCAGCTGTCTGAGCTAGGAAAGGAGGTTGACCAACAAGCATTTCGTATAAAATCACTCCAACTGACCACCAGTCACACGCTTGTCCATAATCTGTAAATTATATGCATTATACAGTAATAACGGTTGACTGATATATTAAGCGATAATGCTAAAGCAATAAAAAAATATTCAGTACACTGTTGAGTTTGCAAATACCTAATCAGATTTAGAATAAATTTACTAGTAGATAAAGTAAACAATGGTGATATTAGCTCTTAACAACTTACCTTGCCTACGTAAAATTTCTGGCGCAATGTAATTTGGTGTTCCAACTAAAGATTGTGCACATCGACGATTAGCGAAACTGTTCCTACGTCTTTCAAGTGTTTTATCATGGTGTACTCCTCGTAATGCTGTGAATTGTTTGCCGTTTGTTTGGTGAGGATTGCGCACCTGTTCCAGAATTCCAATCTCTTCTTTTTCTATAGTTGTAACATCGTCTTCATCGCACTCTTTACAGATTTTGGTGATTTGATCATCAGCTAATTTGGTTGACTCACGTGGTTCAGCCGTTTTAGCTCGATTTATTCTATTACGGCTGGGTGAAGAACAAGGTATATTGAAGTCCAGATCCCAATATTTGGAGCTGTGTGTCCAACGAAAGCCAGTACACAAACCGAAATCCGTCAGTTTAATATGTCCTTCACGGTTAATCAGAATATTGTCAGGTTTGATATCTCTACTCAAATAAAACCAAAAAAAATAGGTCAAGCATATAAACCTATTCTGGAAAATGTAGCTTAAAATACGCTGTGTAAAAAAATTTTATGTAAGGTTTTTTGCCATATCCGAACAAAGATTAAAGTAATATTAACTTACAACACCAATTTATGGATTATTATTGTATGTAAACTTATTGTGTAATTATTAAGCAACTAGATTATCAAGTATATATATTCCTTTTATCATGAGCTTTCCATTAACCCATACATTACTATAATACGATTTAGCATTCCTATTTTGTTGACAGTTTATTTTAAAATTTCTCCTATTCATGGCCACTGTTGACTTATACAAGCATAGTTGTTATTTCCTTTTATTGTTGTGGATGTGGTCTGGTTTTGAATGTATATAAAGGGATGTTTGAAATATAGTAACGAATCTTGGTCTCGGTTCTTTCTCTGAGTTGGGGGCAAGTTAGTATTGGTCCCGTCTTTCAGAAGAGAGTAGCAGTTTTCTCGTTTTTGTGGTGTTGATTACCCAAAGGTCATCTTTGTACATCGGTCAATGTAAGAACACAACATTTTTGCCGCTAAAATCACATCACGTATGATAATGATGTTCAGGGTTCAATGTTAGTAGAATCAGTAGGATTAAAAATGCATATATACTGATAGATTTGCAAACAGCGATACCATATACGATGACACTAAAATGTGATGACAGTCAACAGAGGTTCAGTCAAAGCAATAGGGTGCTGTTTACTAGCACTACTGTCCTAGCTGCTGTTATTTCCAAGGTAAATTTAGTTATGTTTTACTTTTCAACTATAAGTAAAGAAGCTCAGTAAATGTTGAAATTCTAATTAACATTCAGAATTACCGTTGACAAAGCATCAAATAACCAATGATTAAAACAAAATTTCGCTGAACTAACACTCATCAGCAATTTCAATGGTCCTTAGTGTTTGTTCCTAGTAGTGAATTATTAATTCTTATCACTAAACTTTGATTTGTTTTACACTTTTTAGTTGGATAGTACAAAGGAACAAAATAAAACTTGTGTGAGTAAACTTTTCGTAAATAACCTTACCTTTAGGTGTGTATACCCTTGGAGAAGTGAAAAAGGAATACTATTTATGAATACAAAGATAATAGGAACGTCTATCTAAGGTCTCAATAACACAGAACAACATTTGTAGAACAATGATGAAAATAACAAAGGAATTAGTTGATTTTATGATCTAATCAAACAGAAAGTTTTATTTCATTTTCACATTTCACAAGTTGATAACTTTCTGACATCAATTGCACAAGTTGTGGATGATTTATCTTTTAGAGTGAGATGTAGAAACGGTAGTTTAAATACAAATGTAAGACAAGCAACACTGTACTAACAGTCAACGACATTCGAAAACGATAACAAAAAGAACCTGCGTACGATAGTAAAGAGTGTGATAATCCGGTCATTTTATGAATGCGATATGAGAGGGCAGTCAGTGATATACAATGTACAGTGATCATTTCAAAGAAATTTAATTTGTCGTGATGATTGCTTTAATTTTAGCAACTATGATGACAGTCCAAAACAGTATTTGTTTAACCTGTGAATGAATCCATCTAATGTTTTTCAGTATTTATGAGACTAATTTGTCGATATTACAAAAACGTAAATATATAAAAAGAAGGTAATTAATGATTGATTAGCAGGCAAAAAAGCAAAGGTTCAAGTGTTCCTAGTAATACAAGTAGTCGTTCATATTGGCAGAAACATACTTGTCAGCGATCAGAACACTCCTTTTATGATTTGGATGCAACCAGAAAGTTGAATATTGAGTCCTAACTTATTTCATACTAGCTAATTAGGACGTAACGAGATTAAAAACTCCCGGATTTGATTTAGCTATGATCTGACATCACAAGGTCTTCTAAAACGTGAAGTTCAAGTGGACGTTTTAACAGCCATTCATTAGATGGTCAATATTTTCGCATATAAATTGTGTGTACACTATAAATTGATTATCTTATATGTTCAATCTCAGACTAACACTATCAATTGTAATGAGGTTCGATGAAATACAAACCACTAAAGTTGAATACGAAGACAAAATATACTCATTTGACCACACTGTTTCTATGATCCTAATTTTAATCAGTCAAAATTTATTTTAGCGGCATCAAAAATAATTAAGTTGTAAAATTTACTAACCTGTGGACGAATCCCATCGCGTGAACACTCTGCAGTGCTAGTGTCAATTCTGCAATATAAAACCGTGCTAATGGTTCTTCGAAAATACCTTTTTTGATTAGTAATGACATCATATCGCCACCTATATGACCAAAACATGTTTAAAAGAGAGAGAAAATCAGATTGATATTTACGTTGACATTGTTTTATGGAAAATTAAGGGCTATAAGTTGACGGAGTATTTTCTTTAGTTGTTTTCGAAAATAATTTATGAGTGTCTTCAATGCAGCTACGACATTATATTTTGAGACACTGAACTATATTTTTGCGGATATACTGAATCGAGGCAGTGCAGAAAACTAACTAGGTAAATCAATCTGAATATCGCTGCACATTTTAAACATGAGCATATGTATCAATTAGATCGTTGTTGTTGATCAGGTTCAGGAACAAAACCGTTGATCCCATTTAAAAATAAGTCATAGAGAAAGATCACGTTCAAATTACAACAAAAGGTGTGCATATGAAAATCTCCCATTAAAGTAAAAAGACAATCATAGTCATATGAAGAACCACCTGCGATTTTTAAAGCTTACAGGAGATATCAAAGACTGCTTTTGTGAGCAACGTCTATCGTCTTCACTTCTGAATTATTTGATGGACACCACTATTTCTAGGTTAATCAATAATTACAGAGTATTTTAAAGGACTAATTAACAACCTGTCTTCAAACAAAGACAGATTGATTTATTTCACTGTTAAACAAAATTACTAGTAAAAATAAGTCTTTCGAAAACTGTGACCAAAATCGAACACTGTTAAACATGGATAAGAAAATAAAACGTACTCTAGATTTATTTGTTACCAAAAACTTATTCAAAAATAAGGGATAAAACATTACAGGTTGTCACCCGTTTTATTCAAGTGAGCAGTTAGATTATTTGTAGTTAACCCATTGACAACAAGTCTGTACATGAATTAGTCTGGACTTTTAAGCCTATCTATTGATAACCAGTATGTACGTTTTGTACGACCACAAGAATCACTGAAAATCAAAGGCAGAACGAGCGCAAGTACTTCATCACTAATAACTTGATAAACGTTATGAAATTATCAATTGCACAATTACATAACTAGGTAGATAATTAATTTGATGCGGTTAATTCTGAACATGGATCGATTATATCCGACCACATTATCAGTTAAACAAGGTGTTTTTTAAAGAGCCTTTGAGTGGTTGTGATATAAAACATAAATGATTAAACAAAAATACTGACTCTTCGTTTGAAAGCAATAGCAAACTATTTACTTGTAGGCTTGGTCCGCAAAACATTGCCAACTAGTATTTGAAGTCGTTATACTAATCATTCGAATGCCAGTCATATTTTCACACTTGGCGCAAAACAGAACATAGTTCATCAGAAAGTTCATTTAATACATTTAAGTATTTATTAGCATTACATTTTTCATTAAATAAAATAAATATGAAGAAAACTGTAGACAATAAGTTAGGAACAAGTAACTTCTTACCAGGGATATATTCCATGACTAAATAAAGTGCTCGTGAATCTTGGAATGAAAAGAACAATTTTACTACCCATTCATTGTCTGCTTCAGCTAGAATATCTCTTTCAGCTTGTACATGAGCTAATTGTCGGCGTTCTACAACATCTCGCTTATTTAATAACTTCATAGCATATAATTGGTTATTATCCTTTTTGCGCACAAGCCATACTTTACCAAATGCTCCGACTCCTTGAATTTTCAGAAAAGTGCGATAAAATATAATAAAAATAGCTCGAAAATTTTTGGTTGTTAAAGCAGTTAAAAATTAGTGTCTGCAAATATGTTGTTGCTGAATGATGCAGTTGAAGTTATCAGAGGCTATAGACACATTATCATCTGCTACGTCTATTTATGAAGACATGTTTGCATCCACTCAGTGTCCAATACACAAAATTAACGATGTTAAACAAGTTAGCTCGATTGAAGTAATGAGATAAGTAATTGTTTCTTGATATAAGCACAACAAACGAAACTAATGTGAAGTGGTTTTTTGATGGGACTCTTTTCCAAGTTATCGACAAGGCAGAAAAATTGAGTTTTTTTTATTTATTAGCCAGTTTGTCATTCAAACAGTATACAGTTAACATTAAATTAAAGCTTAATTCTATATATGTTTTCGGGTAAATTATTATTTAAAAAAATTTAGAACATTCCAATAAACATGGGAAATTAACACAATCGATATTGGGAAAAGACTGACTTTACAAGATGTAATTTAGTTTACAGTTAAGTCCTTTACTTGCTTAACCAATAATCGGTTCCGAGTTATACCTCATGAGGTTACAGTTAAACAGTAGCTAATACATTCAGGAGTAAGAGAGGTGCTGAATATGTGATATGTCGTGAATTGAGATAAGTTGAAAAAAAATACAACTTATTCAGTAACTTAATTATGTAGTGTTTCCTAAGAAACTTTAAGGTTTCGGGTTTAGTTTTGTGTGTACACTAATAAGCATTTATGAAGTATGCTGACACATCTGTCCAGTATCTTCAAAGTTTGAATAGTTCTTCAAACGATGGCAATTTATGGTGAAAAATGTGTTTCAATATCAACAAACATAATACACAGCATCGAATGACATAATTTAAAACTTATAAAAAAAACTAACTCTAATAAATCTATTTAATAGGAAGTTTAAATTCAGTTGACAAATCATCAAAACTTTCAAGAACCATACCGGACTCAAGTAAATAATGAGCACGGAGAAGTAAGACAAAGATAGTGATTTGATTTCTTTTCGATTAAGGGAATACTAATTGTGTAAACCTGTTTTATCGGTTCGAACCATTAGATTAATATACTTAAACCCGCTAGTATTACATTGAAAATACAACCGATAGAAATAAAAAAAATACTATAAATATCGATTACTCAATACAAAAATAATAAGCTAACCTCAATTAAGTATCTTTTAATTAAATAATCATCTTTGTACCGACCTACAAATATAAATCAGTTGTAGTGATATTGATTCGGTTAAAACAACTCCACTCATGGTTTTTCGTTTCGCTTAGTTTGGTCGGGAGAGAAAAGTATTAGTCCTGAATCGGTAAGTAAATCATGTTAAAAAAATAAGGCTTTGTTAAATTTAAAAAAATCTGAACAATGAAAATGAAATCAGAATAGCTTAGAAGACAGGAATTAGAATGATAAAAATAATCAGGAGTATTATAGAAAATAAAGAAAAGAGAGAAATCTATAAATCACGAAGTTGAAGAGTGAAAGAATAGAATAAAAATGGGATTCCGGAATAGTTAATACTGTTGAATGAAACATCACCAGTTCATGTCACATCCTTAAGTTACGCAGCTAATCTAAGAAAATGTTTCGATGCTTAGTATATAGTGTCTACGTTTGCTTCTTATGAAGTAGTCGATAACAACAATAACTATTGGGATTACAGTTGAGTTGTCTAACTCCGTAAAAGATATTTCCAAATATTATGCAAAAAGTAGTGAAGAGATCAGTGAACTTGATAGAGTATCAACACGATATTTCACTTTAATTTCACAAACTTTTGTCGTATCAGCGTAACCAGTAGAATTACCAAACTTCTCTGAGTAACATGGCGTCAATTAAATTATTATCGACATGTACTAGGATGGAGAACATAAACTTCAATGATTAACATTTTAAAACTATCAGCTTTCTTCTTGGAAGCTAACACTTAAATGAATCTGACGGAAGATCATTTTGGTGTAGTAATTAAGTAACTCTGTTGCTTAAATTGATACAGCCAATGAACCGATTAAACCAAAATGTTACATCCAACATAAAGTGATAAGACGAACTAAGTGATTCACATAACCTTTTTACAGTGCCAGGAACAGCTTTGTGTTTATGGAAAATTGTGAAGTGTTTATCGCTCGACATTCGATGTGATGGGGGTTTGTTACGTTGAAAAAATCTCTCCTTTTGACCCGTGACTTCACAGTTTGCGCATTTGTGATTACCGAATGGACAGAAGCCGAAGAAATACCATGCCCCAGATTTGCAGCAACTAGTGGGAGGCCTTGGATAATGATGTGCATTATGGATATTAGACTTTTGATTTAAGCGAGAACATTTCTGTGGGTCATATTGTGTGAAATTATTAATTTGATTTGAATGAGATACTTTTCACAGAATTATATATGACTAACAGAACAAGATGTGGCTAGAAATTCTAACCTTCTGAATTAATCATCACCTCTATCTTTCTCTTTCTAAATTTACCTCACTGAATTATACTTCTTGAATAACATCTTCGAACCCTAATCTCTCCGATTACTTCTAATACTTTTACTACCTCTACTACTATGGGATTTGAATTGACATTTGTGTCTCTGTGCTAATGTGGTATGGCATCTTGAACTGCTGTACTTACATGCAAAGTTCTACGTTGCTGTTGATGATGGTGATGAGATGTGGCCAGAATTTGAACGTTCAATCATGTTAGTGTTATTTTTTGAGATTTATAATTCAACGACATTCATTAGTAACACCTCGCAGTGTAAGATTAAGGTCTGGTGCTATTCCGCTTAAAAATTTAGTAAGAATATTTGAAGCTGATATGTAATGTAACCCGCAGACAATCACGTAGGAAGAATTATCTGAATTTGCCTGGGTTTTCTGATAGATTAATTTACACATTGTATAAAAACTAAAGACACGTAACTAACGTGATAAAGCTTGAATATTATCACTTGATCTACGAATATATATCGTTAGTTAAGAAATGGCTTTCTTTTTTAAGGAAGTGAATACAGATATGTAGACGAGTATTTGTTTATACTACTAGGTAGTCAAATAGACTTGATTTTCTGCGCTTTACTTTCTCGCTAAAGTAGCCAGTTTCGAGATCGGAATGGTTGGAACTTGTTGCTTTCAAATCTCGGCATCGTGCGTCATAATAATCATGATGTAGAGTTTCATGCTATAGTAGTTCAAAATTCAGTTATTCCGTCAGGCCTAAAATAATAGATATAAAATCTATTCGATCAACAAGTAGTTTTGACCAATATGTTTCATTAGTCGTTTATTTTCAGCTGTTAGCATCAAAACATTTATACAAATAATGACTACGGAAGCTGTACATGATGTGACAGAGTTGATTTTGTGTAAGACGATGACCATGTAAACAAAAATCGAAGCATCACTTAAGCAGTAAATAAATATTTTCAAATAATTTATTGACACTAAGTCTTTTTATTACTGATTTATATTAATGAATATGAGATCCTTGTTCTAATTGGCCTTGTAAACTCATCAGTCAGGAAAATGGGATCTCATGTCTTTCTGTCCTTATTGAACACGTAAACCTTTCTGCTAGCCACTGCAAACATTTTCAAGTCTAACATGCTTATGAATATTTCTGAGCATCGGAAAAACACATTTCTTGCAAAGCCTTTTGGGTGTTGTTGCCCATTAACAAAAGCTTTGTATTATTTTGGCTGCATGACTTCTTATAGAAGCCTAATTAAGCGAAATCAGGATAAAACAAGTAGTATTAGGAATTTAGCTTTTCTTATTACCTTAACTATCCACACAAATAGACACACAAATCTTCAACAATCCTATGCACAATATTTATTTTCCCCAAATGTCCATCTGTTGATATGTTGCATGATGACCGATATTTGTTAGAATTCATAATACCCTAGATAGATTTATGGAAAGATGTGTAATTCAACTAAAATATGAGTAGGTGGAATTTCGCTGTCTGTATGTAGACATATATTCCTATAAACACAAGTCTGTGTAACTGGTCTGTAGTGAATAAGTGCACAGTATGGTACAATAAATGCATAATCAGATACAGTACTGAAAAACAACAAGAGGTTGAATTGATTACTGCACATAAAATTAACTTCAGTAATTATTGGCTGAAATTGAATATTTTGGCAACAGGGGAAATAAATAGTTTTTAAGTTTGGGCAGAACAACAATTTTGACAGCTGCTTTGCACGTGACCTGCATGTAAAACTGTAATAGAAAAATGCAATGGAATTCACTAAGGGAGATACATGTTCTGCAGACACTACTGTCCCTAGCCTAAAGAAAATCAATACAGTAACATATCTACAGTCGTTTAACGCATAAAATACTTACCTGAATGGTATGCAGTAAAGTAATAAAAATTTTAGGAATTATTAGCTTATGAATAACAAACTAAACAGTAAAAGCACTTAGTAATTTTTTTCATTAGTACAGTTTAGAATCTTCTGGTTGTTGATGTTAAGGATTTTAGCAGGTGTCGTTTTTGGGATACATGTATCCTGAGCGGATTGTCATGTGGTTATTAAATCAAAAAGATTTTAAGAACGATAGTAGCTAGTAGTGGAAAACAAGACGCGCATTTCATCCAGGTAGGCCCGACTGAGTGATCCTCAGTAGGATGAGACGAACATACTGCATCTCATTGTTAGCCATTAGCTACCTCTGCTAGCATTAGAAAATTATTTGTTAAAAAATCATATATTGCAAGAACATTTCACATAACCAAAGTTTCACTACTCAATTGAACATACGGACTGTTTTGGCCAGTAAAAAATATCCAGGATAGTAATAGACTTGTTTATCCCATAATTGATGATTATGTAGGTTGGAATTCATAATTTCAACCCTAAAGTACTGTTTACGATAAGAATTATAGACTTTACCTTACAACTAACTTCTTACAATTTCGAGGTTCTTATTAATTCAAGGTTATTGTGTTACTTGAATGCTTCATTTTGATAATACTATACCGATAATACTCGAAACGTGGGTTCTAGGTAGTATGCAGCGGAATGTCGCCCACTACCAGACAGAAGTGTCTGATCAGAAGGTATGGCGCGACCGGAATTTCTTGAGGATCAGAAAACATGTGGAAGGAGACAATCGATGATACGTTCATTCTGAAAATGAAAATCTGAAGATAAGGTGTACATATTTTGTTAGTAAATTAGGTCTTCTTCGGTCTTGGAATCTACATTCATTACACAACCATTGTTTTGAGTACACGAAAAAAGATGAAAATAAGAATGTTCTAGAAATCCGTTGATCAAAGGTTTTGTGTAGAACCATAAAGCTCAGAAAATGTTTTTAATGTTACAGTGATATTGAGCACAGTAGTGAAGAAGAGAAACAGTATTCTTGCATATTATAGATTATACAACGAAAGTTACCAATCACTGCTAATAAAATGAACTAAAGTTTATTGTCAGTTACATTGTTCAAGCGATAACGCATACAGTTTGATTGCTATTAAAGCACAGAAGAGGGAATAACATATTTTCTGTAGCTACCATAACATACGAGTCGGTTAACTTAGGAACTTATAAATGCATTTGAAAATGTTAAGTGTAGGAAACTACAATAAACGCGCGAGATTTGTTGAAATTCAAAAATATATTGCGAATACGTTTAAGTTGTCCCTAAAACTTAGATTGCCTGAACAAAAGACGTCCTATTTGTGTGTTTATGATGGATGAATTGGTTTCAAATAGCATTGAATGGCATATTTGAATAGTGTTCTTAAGAAAATAATGTTCAAATAAGTGAAAATGAGTTTTTCTTTTAAACTGGACTAATTTATCAGATTCCAACCATTTTGACAATTCTCGCATATTGTAAACCGTAAACTTAAATTTTATTTAACTACTCACCTAAATGTTTTATCCTGTAAAACATTGATTGATCCATTTTTGCACGTTGCATTCTCATGTGATTAGATTCCTTTTTGCGAAGCAGACAACGCATTTGAATACGAGCGTTTTCATCTAAACCAACTTTAGACATTTCGGATTCAAGACGATCACGTCTTTCCTTACGTTCTCGGTGTATTCTACCAATATCAGCCATTCTTTGTTCCATAAAACGTCGATAAACAGCCGGATTAACTGGTTTTACCATTCGAAATGTATGTTGTTCGTGAGATGAATCCAAAGATTCTTCTGTTATTTCAGGTTCTGGGAATTGTGTTGGTAGTTTCGTTGTCGATTTTTCTGCATTACCAGTATGATCAAGTTTTAAAAGATTTACAGGTTCTATCGGACTGGGTAAACATGTTTTTATTGGTTGATTTACAAAAGGACTAGCCGATCGACTACAAAAACCATCTACTCCAGTTTCATCTTGTTGTTCTGTAGGGGTATTCAGGTGTGGTGTGTTTAATTTTTCAGCCTGAAAATGAAAAACTTAAGTTAGGCTAGAACGACATTCAAAATGTTTTTTTAATGGAGTCCAATAGATATAGGGAGGAGTAACACTATTGGCTTGTTGGTCTAGATCTGTGTAAATTTATCTATGAAAATTATTCGTTCATAATCTATGCATACTATAATAAACAGAATATAAAGAAAGAAATTGGTAAAAATATAAATAATAATGTGTTCTGGTTGAAAATATTGCAGGAAGTATTGTTATTTCTCCTGAAGATAAAAGAGAAACATCTGTCAGTAGGATTTCAGATTAACAACTAACCTCATCTACATTTATCAACTTAACGACATGAAAAAAAGTTCTTTTTTAAGTGAATTCAAACAAAAAAGTGTTTCCCGGCTAATTTCTTTTTGAGCTGAATAAACGACTATTGGGGAAGACAATTTGTCCTAAACTTCCGATACAGTAGCATTATAATGGGCCTATATTTGTAAGTTCATAAGATTCTGATATTCGAACTAGCAATCGGACTATTCAAGTTGTTATTCATTTCATTTCTCAGCTTCTTCATATCGATTGAATATTGATGGCGCAAATGTTGAAAGTTTTTCAAAAAAAATTGCATTCATCAACATCAAACAAAATATCAATACACTGAAACAGTCAGTCAGCCACAACGTGGAACTTGGTACATAAGTACATCAGTTCAAGTTGCCACAAACATTAGCATACAGAGATTATAATGTCAACTCCAAACCCATGATCGCCGAGGCAGTAGAAGTATTAGCAAAGATGGGGAAGGCTAGGATTCGAAGATATGATTTGAGAAGCATAATTGAAAACGATTTCGAGCCATTTCATTCAAAGTCTAACCACCGGTCACGATCGTCTCGCGGACACCAACAAGGTAGTCTATACCTACTAACATGGCTAGTTCCAGTCGTCAGTGACTTCATAGATTTGTGCCCCGTTTGGTTTGACCGCCCCTAAATTTCTTTCAGCATACTCCTACACCACGAAACATAGTTCGTCGAGGCGGTTGGTGGTTGGGCATTCGTAGCACATTTCTCAACCACCTCAACCGATGAAGTTTCAATACTTTATCTATTAATCTGCCATCCTTACTTAGTATCCGTTTCCTAACAACTACATTATTTAATCGACAGTCGCAGTGTAAACAAGCAATTCTTTGGAGACACCTACGATCGAAGATCAGTAACCTAAGAATATCCTTTACTCCTACTAGCCGTGTTCCACACCTGCCGGGTAGAACAGAGCGAACAGCTGTGCTGTAGACTCGTCCTTTGGTTGGCAGGCAGAACACTCGCCAACGCCATAGGTGACGCAAGTTGGTAAAAGTCAGTTTAGCCTCCTCCATCCATGCTGAGATTTCGTCAGTCACAAGGCCATCGGCACTGATGAAACTCCGAGATAAGTGAAGCGGTCAACACGCTCAAATGCTTCACTCCCTATCACTAGGTACCGATACAAGATTATCTTGAAGCAAAATTTTGTATTTCGACGGGGAAAATCGCATCCCGAACATGCTTGTATTGTTGCTTAGGGTGATCAGAAGATTGCATTTTGTCAGTGCCTTCACCGAATAGAACTATGTCATCGGCATACTTTAAGTCAACAAGTGAGTCTCCTGGTAGAAGGTCCACCTCTGAAAAGTCAGACGAAGATAATAATAACTCTAAAAGTATGTCTATGACAAAGTTAAACAAGAATGGGAAAAGTGGACATCCCTGACGAACACCATTCAAAGTAACGAATTCCGATAACAGTTCGCAAATAGGCTTTAACTCGACCAGTGGTGTTCAAGCAGAGAGCCTGTATAATATGAATGTACTTCTTTGGTGCAATTTTCAATGACCGACACTTCTATAGAACCTCACGAGTCACAGAGTCAAGCTCCGCTTTAAGGTCGAGAAATACTACGATTGTCGGACGCCTAAATGTGTGTCTATGTCGTAGTGTGAAAATGTGGTCTATACAGCCACGTTCAGTTCCGAAAACAGCCTGGTTTTCTTGAGTTTGTTATTGACAAGCTCTAGATAAGCGTCGGAGTATTATTGAGACCAATATTTTAGATACTATATCAGTTAAACTGATTTCTTTGTGACTGTCACAAGAAGACTTTTGTCCTTTCTTATAAATTGGGACAATCAGTGATTGAGGTCAGTCAGACGGGGTTACTCCAGTTGCCTAATTCTACATAGGATCTCATTCAATCTTATTGCTAAAACTGGACCACCATCCTTAAGAATCTCAGGAGTTAGCCTATTAGGTCCCGCTGCCCCCCCTCGCTTCAGTTTTCCTATAGCTTTTTCAACTTCACTAAGAGTCGGAGAACTTATATCGACTTGCCATTCAGGATGACTGGATATCATTGGCAACCAAATAATGTCCGAAGGCCAGTTGAATTGATCCCCAAAGTGTTCTGCCCATCGATTCCATCTCCTGCGTTGAGAATGAATGATGCAGCCATCCTTTTCTGAGATAGTTTCGTCAACAGATAAATTCCTGGTAACGGTTTCCTCGATTAGGCGGAAGAGTTGACTACTGTTACCTATCTCCACTGCCTTTTCCATCTCTCTTCGTTTTTCTACCCACGTGTTCGTGATGATTGCATAGGCTTTTAATCAGCCTGCGCCTAAGCTGACTCCACTCCTCATCTTACCCAGAGCCAGACGAGATAAGTTTCCGAGCGTATATCAGTTCGTTGGACGCTACTGAGATCCATGGCTTCTCGCTAACCCTAAGGTTTACCTTACTAGCAGATATCACTGCTGTTTCCATAGCTTTTTGGATATTATTGCAAGTCGCCTCAGGGTGGGCATCACTAACATCGCTGCCAAACTGTTTTTATAGTTGTTCTTGAAATATATTCTTGGTTATGCTATCACTACATAGAACCCTGGGAGGTTTATTTGCGGTGTCTTTCCTACTTCCAGTAAGACGCAGACAAATACGCGTTCGTACTAGAGCAAGATATGAATCCAAACATAAGCTTTAGAACGAGCGACATTCATCTATCGAGCCTGTCTATCGATGGCTGATAGCAATGTGGTCTAGTTGAGTCAATCATTGGGTCGGCTTTGGTGGTCGCCATGAGACAAGATTCGAACATTAAAAGCTCCAATATATAGTTTAGAGAAAGGTTTTAGGAGACCAGGAATAACATTTTGTGAGCTCGAAAAGTTTGCATCAGCGATGCGACGTGATAAAGGAACGAAAGAAGGGTTGGTCGTGATGATAAGTGAGTTATTAGGAGGTGCAGAAAGGATTTGATTCTGAATTACTTTTCTTGTTAGCGTTTTTGAGCGTGTTAGTTTTCTACGGGATGAAGTCGCCAAACCCAAGCTAAACGTTCCCTCTTTATCCAGGTTTGGGACCGGCAGTAGCACCGGGGGGCTCCAAGAGGCTTCAGGCCGATGTAAAAATTATCAAATCAAAAACTTTTAATCATACTGAATGATCGAATTTTCTCTCTACTTATCTATCATACTGGTAAACCTACTTTTTCAGGAGCTTGGCATTTTTTGGGTGTTAACAAATTGCTATTGTTTGACATCACCATACGAGGAGGTAGTTTTGGAGGGGTATTTGATGGCGAGTTCATGCCGTTGGCTGTACATAATACCGATTGTATGTTATCATTCGGAGTTTGAACGGCAGGACTTATAGTGTCAACGTTAGACGGCTCTTCGAAGATACTCGATACAAAAGAAGAGCTTATCATGGCTACGGGACTTGTTGCATTTTTATTCGCATTGCTTGTTGTCCGATTATTCTGTCGATATACACCTGTATTTAATGATTGAGGTCTGCTGTAAAAAGAAATATAAAGCATAAGAAATGTGGTATATATATATATGTATATAGTTGAGACATTACGTTGACGGATGGCTCGTGATCACAATAGAAATACTGACATCTTTACCGGACACATTAAGATTGTTGCTTAGCTATAGCGCCATAATTGTTCATGTGATGTATTATCAAAATTAACGTCACACATATATGACTAGTAAATAGGATTTACCTTTCGTAAATAAGTTGGTTATTGTGTTACAGGAGACCTTCATATTTGAGTTTTTTTTGTGAATTAGTTTAAGAAACATTTGGAAGTTAAAATAATGGTATGGTGGTAGTTCAACGTTTACAACAGATTATCAACGTCTGTAATAACCTTAAAATTAGGATTTGTCCCACGAGAGTATGGTTGATTGCATTGATGAACTGAAAGTCTAATATTCATTTGCTAACTGCCCTTACGACTTTTAAATATGCTTATCGAAAGGAAAATGCAAGCAAAATAGAGTGATAGGATATGTTTTATTGCTTTGTGGCTGGAGTATACTGATTACGCTCGGCTTAAATAAAAATGATGATAGCAATATATTTCTAATGTACTTTTATAAAAAACGAACCATTGGTTAGTATGAATCAAAGTCTGTATAAATGGATGAAAACAATATTTCAAATATAGTCATGAAATGTTTGGGGAACAACTGTGTTTTATTTGCTTTTTAAAGTTGACTGGAGTTAATGTAATACTATTTGTACAAAAATCATGACTAATTAAAAGCTTTTCATTGTTTTATGATGCTTAGGTGTTAGAAAAAAACACAATCCAATAGTAGACGCTGTTTTGAATCAAGACTTAATACTACCAAAAATCATTAACTATATCTCCATCACAATAGGTCAATGTTCCCGTGAGTACTTAAATTCAAGTTGTTGTTGAGATTATTAATAAGGTAACTGTAGTGTTAAGTGTAAACTAACCCTAGATTTATTCATGTCAAAGATAACGAAATTTCTCATCGTGTAGGGCAAACAATTACTCTAAAGTTTCTGGAGATGATTAAAAATGTCAAGAAAAACAATTCAGAACGGAAAACACAATAGTAATCTCATTTGGTAAAGAAACATTAGAGGAAATAACAAAGGTTTCAAATAAACATAGTATAAAAGTTTTATTTTTCAGCTAGTGGTACTAGTAGATTAGGATTAGTGAATGTGAAGGATAGGACATGAAAAGAGAAACAACAAAATTGTGTCTGTGAAATTAAGTGTCATGAATGCAAAGTGTTGAATTTTAGGGTAAAGAGATATAAAGTGTTAGAAGCACGCTCCTACGTCTTTAAATGAATTCAAGAAGCTTGAAAATATATCAACACGTATTAAAAACCAGGGATAAAATCAATTTTGAAGGGACCAAAAATACTTCAAACGGATTTTAGCCCTCATAAAGGATTAGGATCTGGGGCTTAGTATGTAGTCGCGAACAAGAATAACACCAATAGAAGAGATGGAATACGTTTAGCTACATCATGGAGACTTTTAATTGAGAAATAAATAAAAAAAACCCTAACAGTTACTACCTGAGGTTGATACAAACAACCGTGAACGCTTATCTAGTCAATATGTATTGGTTTGTGTACGATTATCTTTGATTCAACATCGCAATCAACCATGTAAATGATTTAATTCTACACGCACTTAGACTAGTTTATTTTACTCATATGTACCATTGGATTCATAATAAATTTAAACGAACAATTAGTCCTTGGTCGTAGTTAGAGACATCGCTTGTTCACTCTTTTCTAAATGAAAATGGTACACAAATACATATACACATATCTTCTACAAGATGAACAATTTTCCCATCGAATTATCTCATGACTTTGTTAGATACAAAATGAGCATGGATAAACAAACTTTTGGTGTAATTGTATCAAACCTTAAATGTTATCAGATAATATTGATTTTGATTATTCCCTTAATGAGCTCAGGTACATGGGAAACCTCAGTAAAACATTCAGAGGTGTTTATTCTCAAATATTTAATCAGGAATATATTACATTTCGTCGAGTAGTTTTATTACATTTAGTGGTTGCTTTAATAAGCACTGGAAAGCAAGAAATACTAATTTTAGTCAGTCTTAAATAAAAAACTATTACAGCAACAAAATCATGAACATTTTGCAGTCTGTTGCTTTGGAAAGAAAATAGGAAAACCAGGATGTAATGAAGTTTGTTGACTAACTAGTAGCAAGAAATAATAATGAGAAACTGGCACATCAGTTACAAGATTTTAACAACCTGATGAGATTTGTGAGATGTATACATTTGTTAGCAATACCTAAATGCCCAACAATATTTCAATTTGAAGCTTTAGGGAACTGTAAAATGTTAACTTAGAGTTTCTCGAAAACAACTCATTTCGGTCTTACCTCGCAGTTTCTTTTTTGTAGGTGTGTGAAGTTATTACAGGATTGGTAGAAGTCGCCGAGATTATATGATCTGCAGGTTTGGTACGAGTATTTGTGGTTGAGGCAACTTGATTTCGCAAATTTGACCGGGGAGGGAGTGGTGGAGGGAGCGGAGCACCTTTTTTGTTACCCTGTTCTAGTTTAGATCCTCCAGTAGGACTAGATTTTGATTCTGAAGACAATAAAGATTCATCAATATATTTTATTTTTGGGTTTTGAGTGGTCAGGGTCACTTGACGATGGCAAATTCTACCTGACTGTGGGAAGCATTTATCTTCTATGAGACGGTAAAAAAGAAACAACGCAATAAACTGTTTAAGATTCAATATACAAAATGTATGGAAAAGTATATGGTTTGATAATTACTTAGCTGAATCTAGAAATTTACAACCAGACGATGGTAGCATACATAATGTAAAGAAATTCACTGAGTAACTCATTAGAAAATATTCAGCTTTGCATAAAGGTTGTGCTTACCTGTGATATGAATCTGTGACTCATTGTATGCAGATGTGTCATGATTGCATGGAGTAAGCTCTCGTAAACCACAGTTTGGTGGATTTTGTGTTATTCCAATGTTTGAAGTTAGTGGTAGAACAGGACCCGATTGCCGTAATTCACTAAATGCACATGAATTACTATTAGGAAGACGAGGTCTTCGATTGATTGATGGACTTGCACCGGAAGGATTATTATTTGTGCCTAAACATGTTGAATTAGAAGCGGATCTAGTTGAATGAACTAAAGGGTTATAAGACAAAGAGTTTGAAATAGTTGATCCAAGGGAAAAGTAAGGCACTGGAAGTGAAACCAACGGACTATACATGTTGGTTGACGGAGAAATTTGGTGCATTTGAACATGATTCGGAGTTAGGTGTGAACCAAAGCAATGCAACATTTGACCTGGGGAAGGAAACAGTGACTGAAACATGAAGCCCCCAGCATCTTGAGCACTGTGGCTATGAGTGAGTCTGTTTGCGGATGGATTTCCATGCATCCTGTCTGTTGTGGTAATACCTGGAGGAACAACAGTAGCTGGGTTGTAAGAAATATGGTGTGCAGACAAAGCAATCGTCTGTGCTGTTGGGATTGAACTATTTTGCGGAGACTCTATAATCCCATAAACACCAGAATGACACACTGGTGATGAAGCAACGCAACCTGGTGAAGATGCATTGGACGAGCAATCAAAAAACTAAAGAAAGAAAACAAAGAATTCACAGAACTTTATAGAAAGGTGAGGCCACTGATAAAAGCTTTATATATATATATATAAAGACACTGAGTTCAGCTGACTCAGTGATCAAGAACTTAACACGCAAACTCTTACTTTTAGTAAAATGTAGTAAGACTGAATATGTTCTCCTCCTGTAAGGGTTTAGTTACAGAGAAAATACAAATCGATTTAGTGTACTCTAGATACATTGGTATATATAAAAAGGAATTCGACAAATGAACTTCATAAAGTACAAGGAATAATTTTTGCCCAAGTTAACACGGCTCATTGTATCCAGGACTTGGTGATAAGAATTAGGACTGGAACTATAGGGTCACTGAGAAAGTCTGTGACAACATTTATCACATTTATTGCAGAATGTATGAGAAGAGGGAGAAAACTGCACGCATCAGAGGAAACGAACATAAATGCATTTATAACATCAAAGGTCGAGAAAAAATCATAACCAATCTGAAAATAAATACCGACAGGTTACGAAAATCCTTTCAATTGATAAAGACGGAAAAACCCAAGTATGCATAAATAATTCATTTCATTATTTCATACTACGTTTTGATTATTAAGTTTGAGGCCTCATGTCATATGGCTATAATAATAAGAACAGCAGTAAGAATGATAATGGCAGTAATAATAGCGGTAGTATTACTACTAATAATAATGGGTTTATTTAACATTCTATACCTAATACAATGTAGAATTATCACCGACAATATTCGGTAATTGGATTTGATTAGATAAACGTTATACACAAGCTAATAAGATTTGAGGAAATATTTACCTAACATTCAGCTACTCAGAAAAATCTATAAGAATTGACATTCAAACAAGGTTTGTATGGTGCATTAGTTAAGCATATGTATTAGATAGTGTGAATCTTCCGGAAATATGAAATTATAACTACTTTTGTAAGTGGCTTATATGTCATTGAATACTTTAAAGCACACTGAAATTTCGGAATCTAGGTACAGATGATACATTTTCGCTAAGAATTCAATTCTTTGAATCGAAAAAAAATGAGAATTTTACATTCGTGGGATGAAAAAATCCTGTATGATTCTATTAGTGTACATAGGTAAAGAAATCATGCAATAAACAGACCTTTTACAAGACATTAAAAACATTAACAAAAGTTACGAATATTAGGAACTTAGTGACAGCAGAGACCAAATGTACATTTAAACACCAAACATCTGACTTTTAACTGTAATTTAGAAACTTCCTTACCTCAGAAAAAAACTAAAAAGACAAAAACTCTCGTCGCCTTTTCTGTGAACAATATGGTTGGTGGGGTGTATGAATTACTTAATGTCTAATTTTGGTTGTGGAGCTCTCATTGTTCTTCTGAACAACATCATCAGCATATTCTATCTGAGGTTTATGCTGATGATGTTGTTCAGAAGAACAATGAAAGCTCCACAATCAAAAAATCCAGCTCAGAGAACAAAACTGCACCACAATCACCGCATGAGCTACAAATTCTCTCTATCATCTCAAGGTCTAATTCTTCAAAAACAACCACCTGATAAGTAAAAGATTGCAAAATTATACTTTGAAATGGAGAAAGACTATATCCACGAACTAAAACTGATAGGTTTTTTGATGACAAGCGGTTATTGCCTAAGATAATGCAAAGAATTTTACTTAACACGGTCGGAGCGATATTTAGTGGGTGATAATGAAAGACTTGATTGAAAATGTATTAGGAGTTACAACTGTTGCTATCTTTAATTTACAAAGGACACCGCTAAACATTTAATTATTTGGTTGTATAATCCTTTGTTCCATTAGTATCTAGAATTAAGATACGGGTAAGTAATAAGCTTAAACGTGTCACGAATAGTATAGAAGAGGCCCATGACTAAGATAGATATACGTTATTTCCACCTTTGCTATTCAGAGCAAACTTGTTATACAGGCGAAAAGCCATAATAATTGTCATAGGAAAATATTGTTTGCACAACAGTTTTGATGTATTAAAAGTACTTTATGATTTCTGCTTCACTTCGATTTTACTCACCATTTGTAGTGAGTACAATTTTTTCAGTATGATGCTACAAACTAACATGGAGTTGGCATCGAGCTATGTTTCGGTTGTCTTTGAAATGAACAATTAATATCGAAAGTTTAGTAATGTTTATAACTATACACTTAGATCAAACTATGCTACGTTCATCCCGCTTTCACAACTTAACAATACAATTCTTTTCAATGATCGACTGCATGATGAAGTACATCAAACAAAAGATTTCTGACACCAAAACGAGGCCTATAGCCAAAGAAAACCTATCCATGAAGTTTGTGATAATGGATGAACTAATAATTAAAATCGACATTAACAACTACCCAGTGATAAGTTTAGTTGTGACGACATTCAATTAAACATTAAATTTCTAAAGAAGCATAACGTCAGCAGTTCACGTAACTTTCTGATTCCGCTCATGTGTTGGCTTTAATAGGCTCTGAACCCATAGCAATATTAGTGATTTGATATGAAGATCATCGCTCCTGCTGACAAGATCCATTTACTGTGAGACATGATGAATGTGAGAATAAAACCATGTAAGTACAAATATTTTAATGAAATGCAAGTTCTACATCTCATTTCAAACTTTTAGCGACTTTTTCGCCTTCAATTTGAAGGTAAAGATTTCTCCTTTCACTGCAAGAATAATATCAATTATGCATGAAAATTGGAGTTTGTTGGTACTTAATGATATAAAATGTATGATTTCAAGTATTCAAAAATGAATGAATTGTGTCCCACCCTACACTAATCTGTATATATGATTCTAACCACACACAAAAGATGTTTGTAGTATAGTCTATTTTATCGGTCAAATACAAGGCTTAGTAGTCAAAACGATTTATATCATGGACCCGATTAGAGTACTCGTACATGCTCGATGTTCCTTAAGTAAAACTTTGTCTCACTCCAACCGTTAGAAAATTATCAGTAACAAGGAGAAAATGTATGAATGCTTTAGGCCTAGTATGTTCTAAACCTACTGGAATGATTTTTCTGTGAAGTCTAGTTAATGTTTACATAAATCATACTGATGGTCTTAGCATAACACATGAACTTGCCTCCAAGCATATTTGCGTACGTTTTTTACGTGTCAGTTATGGTGGATAAAAATGGGTTGATTTTTGAAGATACAATAATTAAGCTAGCATAGTAAGGAATAACTGTAGCTTTAAGTTCCGGATTTCAGAAAAACAGATTAATCCTGCATTACTTACAAAGTCTGAACTTAAATGAGTATCATTCGAATAAGATAACTGTGAAAATTAATGCACGATATACTTTAAGATTTATAACGTGTAACAAAACATGTGAGTTTGGAGCACTGCTATTTATAGAACCTACTTACAACCAATTTCTCGAAGATAAAGTGACTTACCGCTCCACAAAATGATTTTTGACACACAGTAAGGTTGGGATGGTTAATTATAGGACGTGGATGACAGTTTGATGTCTGGTTTGACATTGAGCACATCTGCCCTTGTATAAGGCCTGTGTGCTTTTGCGTAACATTCTGTACATCATCATGAAAATCACAGGTATACAAGGACCCAGGACAAGTCGCAGAAGTCGGAAGTTGTGCGCGATAGATGTTAGGTTTTATTCCATTTGGATGGGGCATTACAGATGGCTTTTGTAACTCTGAATAACCATATTGGTACATTACAAACAAACCATCCTAACTGCGCGCTTCAATAACAGAATCGAAAGCACAGGGCTGATTGAGGAGATACTAGTAGTACAATCAAACTATATCAATTCACTGCACTTACTAATTTTTGGAAGCTTGATTAAAAATTTTTCAAATACTTCGATAAATCTAGAATAAGATCAATAATCTCCAGTGTTTTTTAAAGAAAACATGGGTTAGGCGCGGCACTGAACATTTGCTACATGCGAAGAGGAGATCCTGGAAAAAAAGGGAGGTTTCCTTGAAGGATTCCGATCGCATTTCTTACTTGGCATTGAGAAACAGATGCAATACCAAAGTTCGAAGCGACAGGAGACAATTTCAGATGAGCTAGCCGCCAAAATAGAGGCGAACCCGAAAAATCTGTTTAGATTCATGCCGAAAAGAAAACCTACTAATCAAGGGTTGTGTTTTCTAAAAGGACCAAACGATGAAGACCTCACCAACCTAGAGGTGGTCGGTGTCTTCAACACTAACTTTTCTGATCAATTAAAGCAGGCGCCTATATGTTCAGATTACTACGCTAACCCATTGCTTGCTGACGGCTTAGGGAACATCCGTATCACTCCTGACTTAGTACTAAGGAAACTAAAATCCTTACGCCCAGGTAAGTCACCAGGTTGTGACAAAATTCGCCACATTGTCTTGCAACAATGTGCAGAAGTCCTCTGTTCACCGATATGCGACCTGTGCAGGCATTCACTGGAGTCACACCGATTCCCAGCTGAATGGAAACAAGCTACTCTCTCTCCTGCTTGGACCGTAAAAGACCAGTGCACGTAGTATTTCTCGACTTCGCAAAAGCCTTTGACACAATGCCCAACGCACGCCTAATCGAAAAGTTTGTGGAAATGGGCTTCACAGACCCACTCACCTCTTGGCTCAGAAACTACCTTGAGAATAGAAAGTTTCGCACCAAGGTAAACAGGGTGCACGCGAGTTGGAGAGTATCCACTTCAGGAGTTTCACAGGGGACCATTCTAGGCCCACTCCTCTTCCTGATATTTATTAACGACCTGCTAGGCTTAGTTAGCTCACCGACATTGATCTACGCAGACGATGCGAAGATCTGGAGGTCCATTGGAAGCGAAGAGGATTCGATTCAAAAGGACCTTACATCTATTGAGAAATGGGCAGTGAAAAACGGTTTGAAACTCAACCAACCGAAGTGCCTCGTCATGCATTTCCTGCCTCATATGACGCAAACCATCTACACTCTCAATGGAAGTCCGCTCCCTAATGTCTCCTCAGAGCGCGATCTTGGTTTAATAACCACAGAAAGCCTCCACACGAGTCCGAACTATGTAGGGGATGCAGCCAAGGCAAATGCGACTCTTCAGTTTATGCGAAGACAGCTTGGTGCTATTACCCCGAAATTATTTTTAACCCTGTTTAAGACGTACGAGCGCCCACACTTGGGGGTTCACAACGTCATCGCACCCTCTCTGCTTAAAAGAGACATAAATCTCTTGGATCGAGTGCAGAGACGAGCAACGAAATGTGTGATAGGGTTGAAAAATAAACCGTACGACGATAGACTCCAGCTGTTGGGATTATTCCCACTGAGCTACAGGAGAATCAGAGGTGACCTGATTATGGCGTACACCATATTAAACACGCCAAACCATCCCAATGTGACCATCTTACCGATGCATCACCACCACTCCCCTCGAGGTAATCCTCGAAAGATTGCACATCAGAGAGCGAATACTCTGATTTGTACACACACTTTCTCATTGCGAGTCGTCGCAACTTGGAATGCTCTCCCAGCCGAGGTGACCACAGCCCCATCAGTGGACCACTTTAAGTAGAGACTTCATAATCACGTACTCACATGCGGACTATCACCTCCCTCTTGGACAAGCTGTGCCTGATGCATATCTTGAGACCTGTTAGTTGTTATCATTGCCATCTCCTCAGGTCACTCAATTAATCTATCTCGCCTATTATCTCTGTTTCCTCTCCCTAGCTTACACTTCGGTCCTCTATCACAATCTTCACTACCAATTGAAAAACTAAATTCATCTACATATTACTGAGTTCTGGAATCTTATCCATATTAGCATTAGAATTTTGTCCTTATTATCCTTATTACTCTCCACATTGCAACTAACTGATCTCCGGTCTGGTAATGTGACGGCAGCTGGTATCTAGAAACCCTACTGCCCTGAAACAAACGTTTTCATTCAAATCCCGAGAAATACAAACTCACAGCCAACTGTCAACTGACTAGGATTAGACAGTCGAGTGGCTAGACCTCCATTCTTTGGACATTACCGAACACCTGGAACCGTACATAAAGAACAAGAATCGAGCGCGAAGAAACCAAATTGATTTACACTGGCTCGTGAAAAAGATATTGGATATACTGGATATTGGAGTGCAAGTCCTAATTCCTACAAAATATGTAGCAGCCAATTGTACCTATATGACTTTGCTTGTCCAGAATCCAATATCCCCGATATCTTTTTCACGAGCAAGCATATACCAGTTTTTTTCTTCGCGTTTGATTCTTTCGGTACGGTTCCACGTATATGGTAGTGTGCAATGGATGGGGGTCTAGCCACTCCAGTAATTCTACTTACTAGGCAGTGGTTTGTGAGTTTGTACGTCCCGTGATTTATATGAGCACGTTTGTTTCAGAACAGTAGGTTTTCTGGATACCAGCATCTATCACAATACCAGACCGGAGATCAGTTAGTTGCAGTGTGAAGAGTAATAAGGTTAAAATTCTAATGCTAATAAGAATAAGATTTCAGAACTCAGAAAATAAATAGATAATCTAATTTATTAGTTGGTTGTGAAGATTGTGAGAGATGACCGAAGTTTAAGCAAGGGAGACGAAACACAGATAATTAAGTTAGCGATTTGAGGAAATAGAAATAATGACAACTAGCTGGTCTCAAGACATGAATCGGGTATAACTTGTCCACGAGGTAGAATCTGGTCTGTATGTGAGTACATGTTTATCAGATCTCTTCACAAACCTGTGTATTAGGACGGCTTTGATCACCTCAGCTGGGAGAGCATTCCAATTTGTAACGTCTGTTTTCGAGAAAGTGTGGATCAACCTGGGTGATCGCTCTTTGATGCCCCGTTTTTCGAGGACTTTCGTGTGGGGTAGAATGTACATGGCATGACATTACGGCTGATTTAGTTTAAAACCGTTTTCACTGCCCTTGAGATGGATATTTGTTAAGCTCGGTACTTTTATGCTCATTGTACATAGCTTTAGTGATATTCATGCTATAAAACTGCCTTCAGGCTGCGAACCCGTCATTCCAGGGTTGTCTAAGGGCATTTGCTCCTGCAACTTCAGGACTCCCATGTTTACCAGACAAACAAAGGCTTGAAAAGTTAGAACACTTTAATCTATCGGACTGAAGAGTTAGAAGCGTTGCATAAAATATGAAGTTCCTTTGAACCTGATTTATCTTCCCTTTTTCTTCCCACTTGATTGAGAAAATACAAAATTCATGAAAGGCTCGTACAAAAGCCAAGAACGGAAATTTATCTACGGAATAAATATTTTAAGGCCGCCATCAATCTTTGAAACCTGGTCAATTTGGTAGAAGACTAGATACTCTTGGAAGTTTAGACGAAAAAGACCTGTAGAAACCGTGGACATTCTGTCCTCAATAAAAAGACTGCATTATCTGTTTCAGAATACGCTAATTTATCATTCCTCCAAATTTAAGTTGCAAACTCTATACCTTAGCAAAACATATAAGAGGCGTTCATATGATGTCAGTAAAGTTGATGCATGGAAAGACTGTAAATTAAAATTAGGCTTGGAGTTTCCTAATCTTCAAAATTAACATGGCTTCATGGTCTTTCCTCCATTTGTAGGAAAAAAACCATTATCGGACGACAGATCGAGATATTTAATCACTCCGGAAGATACAGTTGTCTTCATTCACTGGTAGACAATCTGATGAAACCATGAAATCATCAATAATAATAATAATTCATTCTCAAATAACAACAAGTTACAAGTAGCATGCCGATTTACAGGCAAGATCAAAATGTTAAAACGGCTGACATATTTTCTGTACAAGATTGTTCAGTTACCCAAATATTTCACGCAGTTAGATTAGAAATAAGAGTCTGTTTCTGATTACACATCTACATGAAGTCACTGACAGGAACAGTATGGTAGGGCCACGTTTTCAACAAAAGAGTAAAAATAGGGTAGATACACAGTAGATTTCTTGTGTGGTTTGCTTAATTCACCTGTGAATTTGATGGAAAGTGTTGGTTAGAAGGCACCTGATATAAGCTGTGATCTACATGTGCGCTCAAGTAAAGTGCATTTTGCATAGAGGCAGCATGGTTGCGCCACTTCGAATAGGGTCGTGAGAAAAGACAAAAGACAGAAAGAATAAAAAAGGAAGCATCAAGGCGCATGTATGTAATAAACCAGAGCTTTGCTTATCCGTTTAAGATGGAGCAGGTAGAGTAATGGTGGGTCAAGATAAAATTCATACACACCACTCAAATGAAAGTGAATTGTACTAATATAGCCCTTAAATTAAGGGGAATCGCATCGGTGAATAACAGGTTGTACATTGAGAAGATAGTTTATCATAAAACTTGAATTTATGCAATAAGTTAGCATTTCATCACAAGAGGAGATAAGACTCACTTTAATGTAGTACCAAATTATTAGCTGTCTTTTTGTTTCCGTTCCTCTATCGTAAAATTATACAGGCCTAATATTATATACCTTCTTGCGTTTACACTGCTCATCACTATTGTTTTATCGATGCTTTATGCTGTGCTTGTATAGATTTTATCACCTAGGAAAGACAAAAAGTGCATAAAGACATCGTAGCCGTATATCATCACTTTAATAGATTTTTTCCCGATTCACCAGCATAATGCATTACTTAATACTTTATAATAAACCAATCCTCCTTCGCATTTATTATGTCAGTGTCACTATGGTTTCCTCAGTAGATGCGTTGATTACTACTGGAACCTACTTCCTCAGCACAGCCTTATTGACAGCGAAATTTCGGCGTAACAAAATAAATTGGGTGGGTATAGTAGATTCGAATAGGAAAGCACCAATATACTGACACAAATGAGAAGTCGCATTACATGAGCATGCATAGTGAAATAATTACCGTTCCTTAGTTAACCTCCCCTGTTAGCCATGGACTTACTTTGTCACCAGATGTCCACATTTGCTTATGACTAACGACAGAGAAAATAAGAATAACTTTATCGCTGTACTGAAAGTGTTCCAAGAAGAGTTCTGAGAAGTCAACTTGAAACCTGGACTTAGGTATGACTGAGTAAAAGCCAGTTCAAGATTTTTTTTCAGTCTACCACGCTGTACCCAGCGAGTGGAATGTGTAAGTAATAAGGAGAACTGAGAAGTATAGAAATTGTAAACGTCTATCGTGTTACACTATTGCGATGCAAGTCTATATTACTTGGGGGGGGATAAAGGCAACACTTAATATGGGTGAGCTCTGCTGTAGCCTTGACCTGTATCCCATACAGGTAAAAATGGTGCAATCTCATGGCTAGTGTAAGGAAGTGTAACCGTGGATATACTGTAGGATATATTATATATTATATTATATTTCCGGCATGCCTTCTTAAACATCCCTAAAATTTGTTCCTTTCAAATCAGCTTAGGTGATCCAAGAACTAAGTTTACTGTGCTGGCTAGATAAAACATAATATTAGAGCCATAACATAAACGTATATCAACAGAGACTTGCCTCATATTAGTATATTTTGTCCTTTCTCAACTTAAAACCTAAACTGGGCACAGAATTTTTGTCCTGATAATATTTGATAAGTACCTCGTAAACGTTGTTATGTGATTCAGAAAAACGTAGTTTGGCCTGACTTAATAGACCTTTATTCGTTGAGTCTAAAATCAGGCCAACTTCCGGTAGTTCGATATTCACATCACTCGAGTGAACGTTTATCATCAACTGACGAATACTTGTAATGCCTGATAAACATACTAATAAATTAGTCGTAAGCTTAATGTTCGACGTAAAAAGAAGACCTCCAGATCTGTATGTAATGAGCACATGTTATCTCAAATTGTTGGAATTGTGATTTTCTTAATTGCTGGAAACGATGTAAGGCAGTTTTGAATTAATCCCACGTAAAGAACCTTTGAGAAAGATTGGCCACTGAAGTGTATCCGTAGTGTCAGCCGAAATACTGACTAGGCTAGTCTATAAACAAATCAATGACCTTAGGTAGTTCAAATAAAGAATGGCAGCCTCAGAGATATCATAGCAAACACGTACTTGCGGACACATAGGCATTCGTTTTTTCCAGATTAGTTCTCATGGCTTTGTGACTCATCCTTCCTCTATCACATTCAGCCACCTAACTTAGCGACAATGACATCGTCAGCACTGATCTCTTATTTTCTTTATCCACTCAACCCAGGAATTTTCCCAGGATAGTTATGCGCCATTCGTTACCTTTTTATCACCTACCCATCCTGTTATAAGATGATGCTGAAATCGACTAGCAATTCAAAAACTGTGACCTAAAACTTAGTATCAGATTTTCAGTTCTCACGGTTAGTTTGTTAGGATATTTACCAAATGTCCTAAGGGAACTATTTTTGTAAGTCTAATTCTATTGATCAATTCTTATTGGTCAATATTATGGTTATCCTAGCTATCAATGTCACGCACTTCAGTGCTGTTTCCCACTGGTCGTCCTGACTATCAATGTCACTTCAACTGTCTGTTCCTATTAGTCGTCCTAACTGTCGATATCACAGAGTTTAATGTTGTTTCCGATACGAACTATCTGTGTAAAAACGCATCATCTGCAACGGTTTATGACCCTGACTCGTATCCTTAGTCCGGGATTCTTATCCTCTTCGGGACTCGAACACCGTAATGGGTGCTTGCTGAATACACATTCTACTTCATATCAAGTCTTCTTCTTTTACTTAATGGGGGTTTAGGATAATCGAACTGAAGGAGCCTGTCGTGTCGCCGGATCCTCGATCCCCGCTCTCGTTTTCCGACTATGGTAAACTCGCAATAGTTCAAGCATATCAAATGACGTGTTTACGTGCATTCGTACAATTTATTACTCCTAAGCCTTGTGGTAAGCGTCTCGGCTGTTACATTATAAACAACAGATAGATTCTTAAATCTTGTGCCATTTAATGCGCAACCTCCTGTATGTTCATGGTGAATGTACGCAGTTTGAAAGATATGAGAATATGTTCGCTATACATCCTGGAGTTTACTCAAAACTGCTGCGAATTCCGCCCAAGACATGAACTGTCTACTCAATACGACACGAGGTTTATGGATGTATTCCACGGACAAGAGGAACGACAGACTATCCTGCGCTCATGTAAAACAAAGCAAACAAGTAGAAACTGATAAATACCTTTATTGATTACAGCGTAGAATGGTACTATGAATATGAAGAAGATGCCTGTTCCAAACTTACCGATTGTTTGATATATAATCCATTTTAAATAAGATGAATCACGCAGAATAATGATCTCTAAAACCATATATCACCACATTCAGTAACATTGTTTTCATTCCTGGCTATGAAAGACTGTCTCACAAAATTAGTCAACATACGGTTCAAAGACAATGTTATCGGGCAGCGAACAAGCTGAGATTCTCACTAAAAAATACAGATGATTCGGAAACGACTTTAGACATCAATAGATCAGATGTATATCGGGAAACCTGAGAACTATGACAACATGAATTCAACTGATCTTAAGCAGTTCAAACCGGGAATGGCTATTGTTGATCAACCAGCTCAAGGTCGCACAGGCGAAAGCGCGGTCAGGTTTCGAGGTGGGTTGCGTTCCTTCGGTGTCTAACCGTTCGTAGTCTTCGCACTCTCGGCTCTTACTTTCGCTTTCTATATTCTCTGGAAGCAAAGTTTGTGTGTTTGTTGTTTATTACTATTTACATTGAAAGTAAGTGAATTCTGTGCTGATTGTATCGCCACCTCATTTGTTTCTTTCCAGTTCAACCCACACACGCTTCTCTGGATTCTCCCTTAATAAAAAAGTACCATCTGGCTGAGCGCAAATTGCTGCAACCGAATTTTATTCTGTTTCCTTGTTGAGTGCGCGCTGTTTGTTTGCCGCGACATTAATGTTGTTTCGAACTCCGAGCCTTTAACATTCTTATAGATGGCTGTCATAGATTTATCCATAGATTTATCCCCTTAGCCTTCTAAGTTGGCTTACCTTTACTCTGTCTTTGTGATACGCACTAGAACGTATGCTCCATTAGGATACAACGTAACTGCCAGCTAAACGCTAGACAATCAGAGTCTATTGGTCACGGTAACTGAATTTAATCTATTCCTAGGAATCTTTAGAGCCGATACTAGCTCATGATTGACTTGTCGGAAATCATGAACAGCAAAAAAACGTTCAGTGTAGAGTGACAATATTATGCTCGTTGAGACCAATAAGATAGGTTGAGGTTCTGTCAGTCAATCAGTCAGTCAGTTGCAACGTAGAACTTCGTACGTATGTACATAAGTTCAGGTTGCCATAACACATTAGCACAGAGATGCAAATGTCGAATCAAACCTCATAGTGATGGAGATAATAGAGGTATTAGTGGTAATGAAGAAGACTAGGGCTCGAATATGTTATTCAAGAAGTTTAATTCAGTGAAATAAAGTTAGAAAAACAAAGGTAGAGGTGCTGACGAATCCAGAAGATTAGGATTTGAGAGAGCTCAAAGAGTGGGTGCACTTGCGCCATTGCAAACGATTTTGAGCCATGTCGTTCAAGGTCTCTAACCATTGATGACTTTCGTCTCGTGGACCCCAACCAGGTAGTCTACATCTACCAACATGACTCAGTCCACTTGTCAGTGACTTCATGGATTTGTGCCATGTTTTGGTCTGGCCGCCCCTAGCTTTCTTCCAACCTACTCATACACCACAAAACATAGCTCGTCGAGGCAGTTGGTGGTTAGGCATTCGTAACACATGTCCCAAGCTCCTAAACTGATTAAGTTTCATCACTTCATCTTTTGATCTGCCATCCCTATTGAGAACTCGTTTCCTAACAACAGCATTGCTTACTCGGTTGTCCCACGATATACGAGCAATGCTTCTAAGACATCTATGATAGAATACTAGTAACCTACGAACATCTACTCTTAACGGCCATGTTTTAGAGCAATGCTTCGAAGACACCTATGATCGAAAATCAGTAACCTACGAATATCTTCTACTCTCAATGGCCATGTTTCACAGCCATATAGGAGAACGGAGCGAACTGCTGCGCAGTACACCCGTCCTTTGGTTAGCGAACGGATATCACGCCTACGCCATAAGTGACGCAGGTTGGCAAAAGCCAATCGAGCTTTCTGTATCCGCGCTGAGATTTCGTCAGTCACCAGGCTATCAGCGCTGATGAGACTCCCAAGATAAGTGAAGTGATCAACACGCTCAACTACTTCACTCCCTATCACTAGTTCAGGTGCCGATGCAACCCAGTCTTGAATCAACATTTTGCATTTCGAGGGTGAGGACCGCATCCCGAACATGCTCGCATTGTTGCTTAGGGTAGTCAAAAGACTGCATTTTGTCAGCGTCTTCACCGAATAGAACTATGTCATCAGCATATTCTAGATCAGTAAGCGATTTTCCTGGTAGAAGGTCAACCCCTGAAAAATCTGACGAGCTTAATGTTAAATCTAAGAGGATGTCTACGACAAATTGCTCCTTGTGGAGTTTTCATTTCCATATATTGTGTTTTGATTTAGTTTCCCTTTAGATTCAAATCACCTGCGTTTCAGCCGTTCAGCTCTATTTTTGGAGGCTTATCCATCTCCAATTTGAACACCTTTTTCCTCCCTTTTAGGTCAGAAAGATAAAAATTTCACTACCAAGACTAAGCAAGTCGTTCCTCGGTGTTATGGAAGTCATCACTATACCTGCCTTGTCAGATAATTACATGTACGTAGTTATCGACAGAGCGTCCAATGTAAGTTGAGCATCTTTTTTCTCTCTAGCTGCTCAGATTAATAATTTATCTTTCAATGCTCTCTAGTTCTTATTACAAACAGCCATTAATATTATAATACTAGTTTGCATAGTACGCACGTCACCCAATGTAGGTAATCGCAAGTAACGAATAACTATGCCAGTACATATATGTTTGTTTAGCTTGATCTCTTGACGGATGCAGATTCTTCAGAGGATTGTATATAGAATAATAACCCAATATTCTATTTATTGTTATTTATAATTCATGGGTATGGACTACCTAGTGTTTCTTAACTGCAAAAATTTTCAACTAATATTGAATGCCACATTACTGGTAGTCCAAACATTCTTGTTTCATCTGGTCATTATTATATTGTACTAACTAGAAGTTTTCGAAAGTTCTGTGTGCATTAATTCCAGATATGTGCAGCTGTGGATCCGGTGGAACCCGATAAAATTTTAAGTGCAGTCAAGCAACGTGGTTTGCAGCTTAAATCCATATTAACAACTCATCATCACTCGGACCACGCTGGAGGGAACGTTGACCTTGTAACTAAATGCAAGGAACAAGGATTAGGGGCACTAAAGGTGTACGGAGGAGATGATCGTATTGGTGGTTTGACTGATACTGTGTCGCACGATTATAAAATGAAGATTGGGAGCAACCTCAATGTTCGTTGCTTAGCTACCCCTTGTCATACTACTGGTCATATATGTTATCTGGTTACTGAGGAAAACAGTACCAAAGAGGGAGCAGTATTCACTGGAGACACGTTATTCCTTGGAGGATGTGGAAGATTTTTTGAAGGAACTCCCGAGCAAATGTAAGTCAGTGTAACCTACGGTCATCTGTGTCACTCATCGGTTAAGATTGAAACCATTAAATTCCAACTCAGTGGGTGAATAGTTGAGTGTTTACTGAAAGATTAAGAATTCAAGATTGGTTGTTTGAGAAATCCTAAGTAAAGTAGGACTTTAGAGTTTAATTAAGTGTTTTGTTGGCTGAGATTAATCAGATCCTCAAAATCAATTGATTAGTTTGTTTCGTCTAGTTTAGGTTTCATTTCTTAGCAAACAGTAATCTAGATTTTAGGTTTGCAAACTTAGTGTATTCTGTCTGTCTTATGGTATTTCCACCAAATATAATTCTCTGTGTACTATAATTTTATTCAGTTATCTTGTATATTTAAAGCCTTTAAAACTATCGAACTTGTTCACATTAGTTTTAGTGGTGATCACTTAGATAATTATATTAACTTATTTCCCTACTGTTCTCATATATTTCGTAAGCCACTATGGCCATAAAAAGGCGAATAATCACTCACTTAAATTGCTTATTGGGCTCTGTTCACAGTGTTGGTTTCATTGACATATTGGTGGAGCTACACCTTTTTATACTTACGTGCTGAAAATGACTTATTTAAGCGAAGTATACCACCTAGTACCTGTGCACACTGGTCTAAGGTACCGCGCCATATTAACTTTACCAAGTCGATCCCAGAGTAGTAGACGTAATAACCATATTGTTAGCAATAGAAAAAATTAGATACGAAAGATATGATAAACGAGAAGAATATGCGTGAGTGTAAAAGGTCTTTTCTTGTAAGGGAGTTTTGTGACTTGGAACCAGGTTAGCAAAAGGTAACTGAGCTTTCTAAATTATTAACAAGGTTTTGTTGCAAACCAACCAACCAAGGTTGATGGAACTTCCAGTAGAAGTACGATGATCGACGCATTCAAACACTTGACTCCCTGTCGTTAGTTCAAGCATTAACATAAGAGTCCTGAAGCAATATCTTACATTTAGGGGAAGATAGATGCATTGTTATACAAGCCGCATTTTGTCACTTCCTTCTTTTCCTTAAACGACAAACGATCAGGTCGCTGTCTGACGAGGAATGCCCATGACAAAGCTAAGTAAGAATGAGGAAAATAGACAAACCTAATGAACATCACTTTGGGTTGATAGATGCGTTGACAGTTCTCTGTAGACTAAATTGATCAGTCAGTTACAACGTAAAACTTCATACGAATGTACATCAGTTCAAGTTGCCATACCACATTAGCACAAAGACGCAATTTTTAATTCAAATCCCATTGTGTAGAGGTAGTAGAAGGGAAGCGTTCATAAGATTTATGTACTTGTGGCATATTTTCGCACAAAAACCGATCGATTTATGAAGTCAAGAAATACGCCCCATCCCCAAAAATCTCTAGGGTTAGTTCATCAGGGTCTGCTTCTCATCTTCAATTTCGTATGGCTCTTTCAACGTTATTGGGAGTCGGGGAACTTATAATGACAGTTAATAACCAAGAAGTTACTGAAATTCATTCAAACAGTTCTTTAAAATGTTCCGTTCATCGTTATGATCTCGCGGAGGGTGATTAAGTCTTTTTCTCATCTCCTTAAATAGTTTCAATAACTTCCGGATTTCGAATACCTGTCTATGTTTACTTGTTACTGCTCAGCAAAAGTAAAATTATACAACGGTGTGTTGTAGTTCAGACTAAGCAACTTTGTATTAGAATCTTATCGTTATGTATTTTATCTACTGATTATATTTCTTCACGGAGTTAAGCCTTGATATGTTACATACGTTTGTACTGCTCGATACTAAGTTTGTTGGATTTCGTCATGTTAGTGGTTTTTTGGAATTATTGAAACAAATATAATTAATATTAGATAAAATAGAGACTCGTGATAAAATATGTTTCCGTTCTTATGTACCTTGAGTTGATTTTTAAACACATTTTCAATACTACATAGTTGACAAAAGATTGTAGTATTTTTATGATTTCTGTCTATTCGAACACCATGAACACTCTCAATCAACAGGATCAAATGGTAATTTGGTCCCAGTAAATGACCAAGTTAGATTGTTTGTAATTATTTTTCTGCGTTCCACAATCTGGCAACACAAATGCCATTATTAAGAACTAGAATATTCTTGTACTCCAAATGTCTTCATAAGTATCTCACGTCTTAAGCCATTTGTTTCATTTAGCGTCAGAGGCATCGAGTGCTCTATTACAGAACAAAGACATTTTGAAGCTACTTGTTTTCTCTTCCCATTCATTTGTAGACAGCACATATCAAGCACTTCGGAAATCACGAATCTCTCAATTCTTTATAACGATCATTCAGTCTGTTTCTCATTACTCAGGGAGACAGGATCTTTATTTTTACAATTACTACTATGAAACGAGCAGTGACTTGGGAATTAAGACGTCCTATCCTACTGTAGACTCGTATGATGCTTGTATTTGCACCCATGTTGATGCTTACACTGGGACTCAAACCCAGTACCTTTCGTTTCAAACGCCCATATAGCTGTTGATTTAACATAGCGAACAACATACATTTTAGATCCCACGGCTATTATCCAACTCTGCCTAGTGTTCTTATGACTTAGTGGAACTGTCAGGGCAGTCCGCTAAAGATGCACATGTCGTAAAAGAAATCGAAAGATTACAGTCCTTAAAATTCCTTACATATCAATTATCGCCCGAATGTAGTTGGTATAAAACGCTATGACAAAAAACGTTACGTCATCAAAATCTTTGTACTCAATAGTTCAGAAATGCTTGTGAAACTGATCAGCATTAGTCATCATTTCTTTTGCTAGTGAAACCCATTTTCTACTGTTTTGTGTCGTATCGAGAAATGTCTTCTTATCATTCTTTTCTAATTGTGATATAGGTTTAAGGCACTTATTGAAACTCTCTCGAAGTTACCAACAGCAACGAAAGTCTATTGTGGACACGAATATACTGTAAAAAATCTAGAATTTGGCCTAACTGTCGAACCAAAAAATGAGGCGCTTAAACACCGGTTGGAAGCTGTAAAACGTTTACGTGCGTCTAACCAAGCAAGTGTTCCTGGTACGATAGGGGAGGAATTGGCAACCAATCCTTTCATGCGTGTTTCTGAACCGGATGTTCTCGCACATGCGAAAACTACTGATCCTATTAAAGCAATGAAAACGATTCGCGAACAAAAAGATATTTTCTAGATTTGGGAACTACCTGTCTCGTGATACAACTTCTCTAATGGAACCAGTGTATACATGTTTATATTCTTAAACAATCTTATTCTTTTTATCTCAGTTCTGAACATGGATAAATTACATCTCTATAAAACCAATTACATAAATTTGTTACTAATGAGTTGCTTTTCTATTGATTGAATTCGGGAGTTTATAGCATATGGGTTCTGATGACGATGAATATACACTTTGTTTGTCGCAGATTATGTTCATGTACGCGTAGGAACTCGCGAGTCTGTTATTAGACTTTAGTAATTCGTGTTAAAAATGTTTTTCGTCATTAGTCGTAGGTTAGTAGTAGTTGCACAGGTATTAAATTCTGGCTCATCATATCAGTGATAGATGCAGCCACTGCTGTGTATCAAGCTTATCAATGTCACTGGTGATGTATTTGTTGTTGCTCCTTGTCATTTGTATTATTTAACCATTGTTGAAATCTAAATAATTATGTATGGGTTCTAATCTTAGCTATAAGTCTTTTTATTTGTTTTGCATATCTTATCCATCACACGCTTTCAGACGCCCAGTTTGACTAACATGATCATACGTATAGACGCATCACTGGTTTACGAAATTGGGTTGTTTAAAGCCAGAAACTGAATGCACTTAGTTCGTTTTTCCACCTTAATCTAAAAACCAGATGGCATGGCAGTGTCCGTTTCTGAATCTATGGGAATGTGACCATTCGCGTAGTCCTCATTAATTACGTGTTATCGCAAATCTGTACCTTCAAATGTTCGCTAGCAAAAGTTTCTGTTGTGAGGGGAATGTGATTGCGTTGACACTCCAGGGTTCTGGAAAGTAATCAGCTATTTCGCTCTCTACTGAACAGATCTCTTACTTGGCCCACTGGTTGAGTTAGTCATGGTAGTGAGTGATACTAAGGCGGTTATTTGCTTAGGAGTTTTCCGTACGGGTAGTACATTATCTATCATGGGTATGTTATTTGTCTCAGTATTGTGATCGATACATTCTCAGAGCTTTTTAGGTAGTGTAACATCGTTCCATTTTAATATTTTGCAGTCTCAGTAGGGCGTTTAATATACTGACCGTAAATCAATACAAGTCGGTTTACACTTGGTGTTCAGTTTGTCAATTGTGTAAATAAAAGATACATAAATGGGGTCGCTCTAATCTGTGTTATTGGGAGTTGTGCAGCATGTTTGTGTTTTAGAGATGCAAATAGGATAGTATCGAACTAATATGCGTAATTTAGACATACATTACTAGTGAGAAGTCACATCATATGACATGGAAAATCAGCTGCACATTGGCTAGACCAGCAGAGTTTTAGATAATAGATTTTAACGAAGTGAGTTGCTTACATACTAAGCTATTCGTCATCAAGCAACAGCGAACACCAACCGCCGTAATGCTCAGTTTAAGTATAAATCATACACTGTGGTTTGTAATACTGGCCAGTCAAGTTGCTTTAGATTTTCCTAACCATATTTTATGGCTACCAATGATGGAGTGAGGTGTTGTGTTGTCTCATATCGTTTGAGGCTGCACAGTTGTAATAAATACTTTCTTCAAGAATCCTAACTGGTTCTATGGTAACGGATAAAACACTCCAAAAATAACATAAATTGTCACCATGTACTGGTTTTTTCAAAACTAGGCAATTATTTGCAGGTGAATAATTATAATACATAAATTATCAGCCTTTCCGTCCTAACTGTTACCCAGAAGTTTCATATTTTATAGATTACTGTGTAATGGTGTCTATAGATTGTTCTTAGCACGGTGTCAAATGAACACTTCTACGTTGCAAGGGTTTTTTGTATCTGGGACATAAGTTTACTAAGCAATAACAATTCAATGTGGTACTAGCTAGTTTTATCTAGATATATTTATTTCTCGTTCTTAATTTAAACCGTATTGCAATCACACCGATAATTCTCTTAGGAATTTTATACTTTCACGGATGAGGGAGTTGTAGTTGGCATTTACGGACCTGTACGTACGAAAAAACCCATTTAACGGTTGAGAAATATGGATACATAACCAGTTTATCTTGGTTGTACTCCATCACACCATGTTATCAATATCTGATGAACCAAGGCTCCTCAAAACATTAAGGGACACAACAGGCCTATTCTTCCTGTTCAACAGTTAAGAAGCATTGCTACAGAAAAACCGAAGATAAAATCTGTGAGGATTCACAGTAATAATAGGTATTTTGATGATGAGTAATGTGCACATATGTGGTAGCGGTATTTGTACTCACACTGAATTGTGTCTAGTAGGCACACAGGAGTTGGTAATGTCAGTCCGAATCCAAGATCCAGTTCCTAGCAGAATAATTTGAAAACTGGAACTGTTGTCTGTACGTACGAGATTGTAGCTGACTAAGAATTTGTCATTGGAAACGATATCTGTGATAGAATACCAAAGGCCGTATTCAAATAGAATTTGTTACTCTTCTTAATAAGGGATGTGGAGGTGGGATGTCAACTACAAGGAACTATAATTTTACGATGTCCATAATACAAATACTTGCAAGCTTTGCAGGTATGAAGATGGGGTCTTGATTGTGAAAAGAAAAAAATCTGTTAAGTAAAATGGCGTTTGATACTTTATTTCCTGGTTCTAAATAAAAAGGGTAACAAATAGGGTAAAATAGTAGTAGACTGGGCGTAAGCATATTAGTCACTGTAAATTGTACTTACGAATCAAGTGGTAAATATAAGAAAACAAGTTCGATCGAGATAAACGTCTGCAGGCTTAAGGAAAATGATGGAAGTTATTCGATATATATTAATAATTATATACAAAATGTATCACAATAATTAGCTCAGTCATACGATTACTGCTCTTCTCCAAGTGGGTCAGCAAGACCTTCCGTTTCCATTATCAGTGCCCTTTCTAAGATCACTTTGCCTTCTTTGTACCTCTGGCTCTCCTCCATAGCATGTTCGTACATCCAACCCAATTTAGTATTGCACTTGATGCACACGACGTCTCTTACTAAGTGACGTCCAGTCAACATGACACGGTCCTAGAACGAATATAATTTTAATTTCAAGCTGCTCAATACTGAACGTACTTGAATATCGCTGTGAACTATGTTAACAACGCGGTTAAATAAGAATGCGCGACCAGTAGCACCTGTAAACCGAGTGCTAAGTATCTCGCTTCTATTTGTTAGTGGAGTTTCACAATACTGACAGTGAATAATCCTATGACCACCCATATGCTCAATGAAAATTCGACCCATCTTAGTTATCCGCTAGTCTAAAAAGGAAACAAAAACTACTGAGTACAGCTGATTCCTGACAAGACGACCTCAGAATTGAGTAGTTAAAACAAACAACGTGCTTTGTTGCAGAAGAACTGTAACTGCTTTTCTGACATGTTAATAGCATTTACTAGGCATCCGAAACCTGAACGCGAAGACCGACTGCCGTAATTTGATTACTTAACGTGGAAGAGGATGGAATCTTTGGAACTTTTAGCTGCGAGTAAATTCTCGAAATACACAGCTCTGAAAGTGCCTAAAATTAAAACAGGTTTCATTTTTTCACTGGTAAACTCTCTATTACAGGGGTCTTCTATGCATTAGTGGTTATAACCAGTCAGTTTAGGAAATAAGCTCGTCGCCCTATCGATTGTCCTTCAATTAAATATATATATATATATTACGATTTCACTATGAGAGATTAAACTAGTTATTTCCCAATATGAAACAGTAGTGAAGTGAATCCACTTTTATGAAGAGAACACGATTGGTTTAATAGAAACATTCATCATCATAACCAAATGTACCAGTGATTGTTTTACTGAACGTTTGGTGTATTTGTAATTTGTACATGCAGACTTTCCGTTTGTGTCGCTGCCACTTTGGTTACACTATTCTCTGTAATTTCGCCCCTCTTTTGTGGCACGATTACGGTATTATTTCGAAACCGCAAAATCGCCAGCAAATGTATTCTTTACTATGGAATAACCCTTCTACTCTGTGACGGGCACGTAATTGGTCTGTAGTGGTGATCATAGTCAATCTGGTCTTTATCGCCACCAAAGTATCAAGGTTTGCCCACAGGGATATTGCCCCGTATAAGTGAGGACGTTGTCAAGGGCTTTTTCATGCATTTCTTTTTGTCTAACCTACAGTACACTCACATTCTGGTCTCATTTGAACTTATCGTCGTGGACAACCTAGTTTAAGTTGCCGGTCTGACTATCCAGATCAACTTAACTTTCATCTCAGAGGTTTGTTCTGTCAAACAAACACCTCGGTCGACTTTGAAACAGAATTTCAGACCTCTGCAAAACAATCTTTCGCGATTTCGATCTTCAGTATAATCTAGGATAACCCAAGACCTCCAGGAGAAGCTAAACACGAAGAAGATCTGTTTCTAGGTATCGTGGATCTGATCACTAAAATTAATACTAGTACCCAACTAACAGTAGAAAGTCTCTCGAAAACTGTACGTAAACGTCAGTCACCCTAGTTATAAATTTGTTTTAACAAGCATTCCGGAAAACTGTCACACAATACTGTCTTAACAGCAATCAAAGCCTTTCTCTTTACACCAGTAAGGGGATAAAAAAGGTTCACTCTCTCAAAGATATCGTTGAAGTGGTTAAGGTACTTTCTTGCGAAAACGAACGATCCCGTACTCATTTTGTAGGCGGTAAGTGGAAAATCGAACGTTACCTACAGAAAATGTACATTTATCGCAACAGGGGGTTTATGCAAGACCTTTTTCTGGATTTTAGTTGTGATTGACGAACCATTGTCGATCACTGGTATAGAACTTCTATTGCTCCACGATGTAAGCCCAAGGAGGTTAGTAACCGGTGATACTATACTATCTGTTGGAAGTTTCATTTTCCGGTTGTAGGTTGTGCTTAATCACGGCTAAACTCATTGACGACCATTTCCTTTCAATTTTATTGAAAAGGTTCTCAAAATTATCAAACAGGATTTCAATAACTGCGTGTAATCATAGATGTCACACATTACATCATGACTCCAGGACCATACGTAATGAAACGCACGACAAAGAGTCTATGAAAAGGTAAAACTTGCCTCCCTGATGGGTTTTAAAATGATCCCACGGTAAAAGGTACTATGGATGTCACTGTTGCGTATGATCATTAGAGAGGACAGCAATTTTCGGGGTCCAGCTGTTGACCGTCGTTTAATAAAAACGATAACAGCAGCCAGGTGCTCATTGTTTGCCGAAGAAATATCTCGTATGTTTCAAGTAAACTGAAAGATATAGTCCGGTTCGCAGGATTCTTTGGGAGAGTACTTGCTTGTAGACGAGCCAGGAGAAAAGAGAGTTTCTGATTTGGGAAGATGATGAGATGTTGGATTTTCATATGGGATTGAAAGTGTCGCAAAGAACGATACACAATTAGTAGTTCTCTTCCTGATATTCTGCATCTGTAATCAGAGTCCAGGGACCATCTCGGGATGAATGTCAAAGGTTTCCAGGTGTTATTTTCCTCCCAATCTTGTAATTCTTCTCCGACGGCCAAATCAGTTGAATTTATGGCTCAAGTTACGGGTTATTTGGCCTCAAGTTGCACCAAAATATTTTATCGGAAGATATACTGTTTCACTGTTGAAAATCTTATCTTCTTAGTGTGCTCCAGCTCAACGGTTTTCTCATTCTCAAGTAGTCGGTCGGTTGAAGATCTCATGTAAGCAACAGAATTCATGATGAGCAGTCAGTAGGAACAAACTAGTTCATCGAATGTACGGTAGTGTTCTGATGTGAGTATCCAGAATTGCGGCTACTTTATTTTCAAGAGACCGAATATCCTGAGCGCCAGTTGTATGCCCGGGAAAATTTAGGGAGTTGATTTTGATTTGATTATTCTGTATGTGTATAGCAATACTAAGTCTTTTGAGTTATTGGAATTCAGGGTATGGGTACTGGAGATGAAGCCCTATCTTCGTGGTGAGCATTAAGCTGTTATCAACATAAATGTAGGAAAAATTGAGAACTAAATGAACGTCATCAAAAAGATGCTAAAATTTTTCACCTGCATTTGTATCAGTGTTGAAAGTTTTGTACATATTTCGTTCTCTTTATTATCTTGGAGAGAGTCAAGATAAAGAATTCATCAGAATAACACGAATCCATTTTATTTCATAGAGCTTTCATAAGCTGTTCACAACGTAAAATATATTACAATTCAAAACTGTCGAAAAGCTTACACACTTATACCAGTGGTAAGACTACATATCATCAAGATAGAGTTGCCTTGTAAAAAAGACTTAGAATAACAATACTGCATAAATAGTGACTTTATAGGTTACGAGAGACAGATCAATTTGCAAGAATGGTGTAACTATTACAGATGGTAAGTCATATTCTTCAAGGAACTAAATCTCTCAGTTCAACTGACGTTTTATGATGAAAGACAAACGTATATGGATATACACTGTAGAAATACATGTGTATTTACCATATTATCGGTTCATCTGTGTTATGTAAATCTGTAGATGTTCGAGTCAAAGGATGACGATGAACACTTCCACAAAATAATTACGTTGTGATATTAACGATTTATCCCGTAAAAATCAATAACCAGGAATGATGAATAGACCAGAGGAATGAGTAAATTTGCTGGTGCATTTGTGGTGTCGAAAGAATACCGAAATCGAGCCACAAAAGAGGGGCAAAATTTACAGATCAGTGAAAGCCTGATGGCGCCCATGCAACAAGATGATTGTGTTACGGGAGTTTACGAAGTTCAGTAAAATAATCACTGGTACAGTTGGTTATAATAGTGAATGTTTCTATCTAACTAATAGTGTTTTCTTCGTAAAAGTAGATTCACTACAGCAGCCTACCGCTAGAAAAGGTTGAACACTTTCGATAGGTAGTCGTAGCGATTTTATGACTTTATGGTTGACGAATAGGAATCGGTCCAAGCTGCTGGAGTTGGGAACGAAGAACTAAGAGAACTAAGAGTACTAAGAGTGACGTGCTATGTTTGCTGCTGATGACATGGCTGCTGACTGGGACGTGTGTGTTCACATGTGCATAGATAGTCGTTGGACGTTATCTGATATACATAAAATCACTGCTCTATGGTATGAAAAATTCCTAGAGCAGATGCGATATCGTTCCGCATATAAGTGCAGAGGCGTAACTTCGAGTATCAGCCATGACTGCTCAGTAGTCGCCGCATGGGCTACATTTAATGCCATATTTTTGGGTGGCCCGAAGATTGAGAGAATGACGGAATAATAAATACTGCAGGTAAATTTTCAAATTCATGCTTAGCGAAAACTAATTAGTCCAGTGCCGATCGACGAGGTTTTGCCGTGACTGGGGTTCTGCAGGTGACGTTATGCTGTACCACAAAATTATTCACCGACAGAATCTTTTCTGGTCGGTTACTTTGGGGAATTTATCAAATGAATAATCATGCTAAAAGAATACACCAGTGATTCGGCACAAATCTCTTGGAGCGTTTAGACCCTTGAATTAAATATTCAATGATGTATTTATTAACTGCCGTATATGTAAATCAAATAGAAATTTGGAGAGCTGTAGGGTATCCATACTGAAAACGGATGTGGGAACTTCAGCAAGGATGAACGTCCATAGACACTGTCACCGATTATTCAAGTTGATCGTTAGCTGTTGTGTACCGTAGGTAGGAATGACTTAGGCCATTCGCAGCGCGTGGTCGAAGCACTGTAGCTTGAGACTTGCTGCTACTAGACGATACGACAGAAACATGGGCACCTTTGTCCGGCAGGTACCTAGCGTTAGTGCGAAAATCATGCAGCTAAAATTAACGCGCAACCTGAAGTGACAGGAGGAACCAGGCAAAAATACAATGACCTGCACCTAGGAGTCTATTACACTGTCAAAATTTTAATGACTGACCCCGTTTCCAGACGTTTTTGTGAGTATGATGTGTATTTAGAGATATCAATAAGGAAAGGCGACAAAGATGGGTTGAGCCTGAATACTGCTGAAAACTGATACGTTCCCGCCTATACTCGTTAGCCCGTCCTGAAACGAAACAGGGAACAAAAGATGAAGGAGTACATTTGCTGGCGATTTCGTGGTATCAAAAGAATACCGAAATCGTACCAGAGGATATGGGTGGAAAGTGGAGTCACTACAAACTATTAAGTTTTCGAATTATTGTTGGGACTGAAGATGATCAATAGATGCCGAATCATTTGCCATAACCCAACAAAAACAACAATGGCTAACGCTAACTAAGTAATTGGTCCCATGAATCATGCATATTCAGAGTTGTGATTGTTTTCTGTCTGTTACTTTTCACGATGCATTTATTTAACTATTTAAACGT